TTAGGTCCCTGCATTTTATCTTATTTTATTGATTTATCTTTAGAGAGGGGGGAAGGGAGGGAGAGGGAGAGAAACATCAATGTGTGTTTGCCTCTAGTGAGCCTCCCACTAGGGACCTGGCTTGCAACCCAGGCATGTGCCCTGACTGGGAACTGAACTGGCAACCCTCTGGTTTGCAGGCTGACACTTAATCCACTGAACTACATTCCATTGTTACTGTGCTTCTGTAAACAGGTGACACCAGCCCCTGGTGTGGCTCTGCTTAATTAACATGCCACTGAAAGTGAGTCCATGTGTCCACTGCCCCGTTGACTGGAGAGGATGTGTCAGAATTGTCTGAAGATAGGAACTGTGGGCAAGCATGATAGAAATGACAGGCAGGGCTGTGACCTTTCCTCTTTTCATGCAGAGGATATAAACTGGCACCCTTACCATGGAAAATCACATTGATTTCTTTTTTTTAGGGATGATCATGTTTCTTACTATTCAATAACTCTAGGATGAAACGGGTGAAATAAATATCAAACTCACTTGAGTTTTCTCAGAGAATAACCCACAAAGAATGCATCTCTCTTAACTAAGGAGGTTTTTGATTTGTGATACTGAGCAAAGCATCCGGTGCAGGGAAGCAGGAACAGTTTATTCTCTGCCTGACTCTGGTGGAGTGGACACTTGCTGAGGGCTGCTGACTGCCGGTGGTGAGACACAGGACCTGCTGTCGTGGGTCTTCCCAGGTTGGATGTAGGGTATAGGTAATATTTTTAGAATGTTGGTTACCCCGTTTCTAAGAGAGAAAAGGCAGAGAAGGGGGAGAAGCCACAGAAGGGGGAAGGCAATCTAAGGATAGGAGGGAGCTTCTCATCTTCCCAAGGCCACTTTGTCTAGGAGGTTCGGAGGCCCCCGTACCTGTCGTATCTTGTGGGGCTCCTAAGGGATTTCTCTGAAGTCACCGATCTGGAATAATGCAGTAAGGACTAGAGCTAGTCTAGTAAACTTTGCTCTGTGGCAGAAGAATTAAGCTAGCCAAACAGACCTTTCTTTTTTTTTTCTCTTTCCTTTTTTCTATTCTTTTTTTCCTTTTCTTTCTTATAGAAAGCTCTGGATTCAAGTCCCAGCTCTGCCATTTTCAGGCTACATAATTTTGGGCTCATCTTTCTGAGACTCTGTTTCCTGATTAAGATGAGGGTAATAAAAATGCCTGCTTTATAAGATTAATGTGTGAATTAAATAATACAAGTAAAGTGCTAAGTGTAGTGCGTAGTATGTTACAGGCACTCCATAAATGGCTCACTGCAGTTATTACATGATTAACTTTACAAAGAGGGGTAAAGTAGGGCCACAGAGAACGTGGTGTTTGGGAGTGGATTCACGGCCCGCAGAGCACAGCGCTGCTTTCTTGGAACTGCTCTGTGGGGTCCAGCCCCACACTGTCCTGCCACAGCCGAAACCAGAATCCCTTCCCTCCTCTGGTGGGTACCGTTACCCCTGGCCTAGGAAGGGGCCCGGGGACATTGATTTTTTTCTTCATCTGTCTGACCCAGCTGCCGGACTTAGGAGCAGAACTGCTCTGGTGCTCAGTGCTGCTGACTCTGGCCGCCCCTCTGCCGCCCTCTGTTTTGACCCCAGCTTGGCTTCCCATTTCTGGTGTGGCCATCAGTGAGGGCCCATTAAGGGGAAACCGTTTCCTTGGGTCTCAGTGACAGTGCCCAAGAATGGAGTGACAGTTCTGCCCTGTGTGCTGAGGGTTTGCATATTATCAGAGAGGGTTCCTGCCTGGCTCTTACATAGAGCTTGGCACGTGAGTAAGAGGAGCTCAGGGAACACTGCTGAGTTTTTGTAACAACTCAAGCGAATTCCCCTGAGAGCAGCATACATTACCGTTGTCATGTTGCCTTCCGGCCTGAAGGCATTGTGTTTGTTAGAGTCAGTATTTTGTTGGATCCTGACAGGGATTTTTAGGATAGAATTTTTTAAAACTCATTTGAGAGTCTAGTCTTTTTAATGTTCTTCTCTAACCCCCAATGCGGCATGTTCATTTCTTTACACATTTGCTGTGTAGTCCTCACCCTCGTTTATAATATAGACATTATGCTTAGCTTCAAAGCTCAGTTTGAGCCTTTCCGGTCCTTTCCAATATCCTTCTCTCGACCACCAAACATTTACGTACCTTTCTTTGACTTCACTTTCTCCTGAGTGTGCAACCCTTAAAGGCAGGACTTCCGCCCACCCCGTTCTTTCTGCCCGCCATTCCTTTTCCCACCGTCCCACCGCTTCTCCCCTCCCCTCACCACACAGCCGCTCCCACGGCTCACTCACTTGGTAAGCCTCCACGCATTCTCCAGCCCTAGCTTATTAGCTGAGTCCAGAGTGACATTTCTCTCTCATTAGTAATCTCCTTCTAGAGCCACTAACTCAGCCTGCCCAAAATGAAGCTCTTGTTAGAGCAAAGTGGCCAGATTGGCCAGGTCCCAAGATTTCAGCGTAAGATAAGGATGTGGCTGCAACGTAGCCAAGCCAAGGACTCTTATTTTAGGTGAATCCAAGAAAACCCTTTCTTCTTCCAGACTCTCTACTTCTGTCACTGAAACAGTGCTACTCCCAGGCCCTTCGGCTCCAGCCTGTGGGACTCTGCCCTCCCCGTTCAGCCACTGTCACAGTCCCAGTCCTGGAACATGGTGCCGGTCTAAACCAACCTCCTAGCTCCAGTGCCTTCCACTCGGGAGAAAGCCTGCACTCTCACTACTTACACGCTGGACTCCTGAAGTACACAGGCCTACCTCACCTGCTGCCTTGCTCAGGGTCCATCCCTCCCCCAGCAGACAGATTCACATTACTCAGCAGCATCCAACTGCTTTGCACCATACCAGCCCACACCTCATCCATTAGGAGGGGCCAGTTCTTTCTGCATATTCCACCTCCATCTTTAGGAGGGACATGTCTTAAGACACAGAGCCCTGGAGATACTTGCAAGCATCTGGTTTCAAGTCCACTGTCACTGCTGCTTTTAGTCCCCAGGTATTACTGAGCTGAACTCTGCATCAAGTGCATAGCAGACAGACAGTGTACATCCAGAAAGGGCCTGGGAGTTATGCATGGCCTGCTGCAGTACGTGGCCTTGCTTGCTCAACCAGGCCACGAAGCCACAGCTGAACGGCGTCTGTTCCATGGCCTCCTTTCACCCTAGCTGGAGCGACCTACAGGCTCAAGTCAGCTACTGGTCCTACTTGGGACCAGCTTGTCTCCTTTAAGGGGGCTTAGAGAACTTCAATCTGTTTTTTAATTTATATTATTTTTTGCTTTGGCTGGGCAACTGAAGAAGAGTTGGTCCTTCTATCTCTAGCTCAGCCAGATGGGCAGCTCCTTCAAGGGCCTAGGTGTTATTATGTATTATTTCACGCTCTCTCATAATAGAAATAGTTAACGGTGCAATAGTGAGTACCTTGGTAGAGCTGGACGATGTGCTGGGAGTTCTGAGTCTTCTAAGCTTACAATTCGTTTTTGGTGCTTGTCTTCCCTCCCTCCAGGTTTTGCCTGATCAATGCAGGAGTCCTGTACCTCTACTTCAGCAACTACCTACAGATAGATGAGGAAGAATATGGCGGCACATGGGAGCTCACGAAAGAAGGGTTTATGACATCTTTTGCTTTGTTCATGGTATGTGTAGCTGATACTTTTACAGGAAGGATTACCATCTAATGAGTTACTCAAGGGGAGCCTAATCAAGTGACCCTGTGTGACTCAGCTGCCATTTTTTGCAAAAAGCTTGTGAGGCTAGAGGCCATATCTATGTTTATCATGTTGTCCCGAAAAATGTGGTGTGATACAATGTACAGTCTCCCTGTGGTGTGGCAACCCAGGGCCCGGCGTCAGCTTTCACATCTGATCCTCAACTCTAGCTGTATATGAGAAACCACTGGGAAACATTTTAAAATATATTGACAGACAAAAGATCACTGCTCTATGATTCCATTTTTGTGAAATTCATACAGATAAAAAGTTAGATTAGTGGTTGCCAGGGGCTAAGGGGAGGGGAAAGGGGGAATAACTGATAATGAGAGCGTATTTTCTGTTGAGAATGATGGAAATGTTCCAGAAGTAATTAGTGATGTTTACACACCTCTGTGAATATACTAAAAACCTCTGAATTGTGTGTGTGTTTTTTAATGGTCTCAGTAATAAAAAAAAATCAGAAACCCCCCCTCTGAATTGTACACTTTTATGGGATATGAATTATATCTCAAAGGTGTTTTCTTTTTTTTAATTTATAGATCCTAGCCCAAGGAGGTGTCCCCTGGGCATCTGCATGTACCTCGTATACTTTTAAAGGTGCTAGGAGACGCAGTGGACAGAGAATCTGATTTCTTTGCTAATCCTAACAGCTACTGGCAGTACAGTCTGCTTTACCTGCATTGTTTTCCCATCTGTAACTCCACTCCCTGGCACTTGGTTCACTGTTTGGCGGGTTGAGTGGCTTGTCCAGGGTCCCTTTGGGAGCACACCAGGGTGATCCTGGGCTCTGTTAGAGACAGCTTGGTTACAGTGAAGTTATTTAGGTCCCTAAACAGATTAACACTACAAGATTAGCATTGGATAGCCCTGGCCACCATGCACACATTCTTATCTGACATTTGTGTTTTGTTGGAGAGGGGCCTGTGTTGACCAGGTGACCTATGAACTCTGCTTCCCTCCTCTCTAGGTCATCTGGATCATCTTCTACACGGCCATCCACTATGACTGATGGTGCACGGTCCCCGCCTGCTTCCTGTCTGGTCCAAAGGACCCTCTTAGTTAAAGCACAGAAACCTGATTATAGGGGCACCCAGCCACGTGGAACCTGAAGACCCATGTTTCCTGGACCAAGAATCAGTGTGTTGGGCGTCAGTGTTCTCTGCGAAAGTTATAACCTAAAACTTTTTTAAGAACCATCCATGCTTGGGGGAAGCACTTCTGAATTGTCTATCACCAACCATTTCTTCTTGGATACCATCATGAAACACCTATTTGCAAATGGAGCTGCCGTTTAATTTTATGCAAATCTGGATCCGGATGAAATATTAAATTGTCTTCCTCACTTCTCCATCAGGTGTACAGTTTTTAAACTATCAGCGGCATCTCAAGTCTTCTGAAAACAGCATGGCAGTGTGTGCGTGGTTTACGGCACAGTACACGCAGCATCTAGTAACAGTTTCCATTGTAGAATGTTTTCAGATACTTGAATAAATCAAATCTTTAATCAACAACCTGTTGATACCTGGTAAAGCCTTTCCCACCTCACCTCTAACCTGAGAGCCTAGTAGGAACACTACAGGCAGTGCCCTCCCATCACACATCCCTCTCCATCTCCCTGCTCCCTTAGCAGCTTCATCCTGGCCTCTCTCCCTTTATGGGTTTAGGCTGAGGCCTTGGTAGGCTGAGGCCTTGGCTTTGGAGACAGAGGGCTTAACGCCTCCCAACACCCTGGAGCTCCTGCTCAGCAGAAGGACCACACGGAATTGATATCACAGTGTGTGAGGCTCAGGTGTCATTTTGCATTGGGCCACCAGATGGCAACGCTGGTAAGGCTTGGCCAGGTCCAAATGACAAGCTGCAAAATGAAGTAAAGAGCTACCGTGGTCCAGAGAAAGGGCTTGATGGGGACATTTGAGGACATGGACTGACAGGGCTCTTGCTTTTTTGCTTTGGGGTCAGGGGGTGGCTGGACAGCCCAGATTCTGCTGCTCTGGTAAGCTGTCTTGTCTCCTCTGCTTTCCTGTCCCTTGTAAATTTGGATTTTTTTTCTTGATGCTAGTGGTGGTTTCTACCTTTTGGGTGGGACTGGTTAGCAGGGAGGGGGTTTGAGTGGGACTCTACTGGCTGAAGAGGAGGATGTGCTGGAATACTCAAACTTGGGCACCGACTGCTTCAGGCTGCAGAGGGAGTTCAGTCTCTTTGGAGCCCTGGCCCTGTCCTCAGTCGGTCTGTGTGTGAACCAGAGGTTGCCGGCAGGGTCATGGCACTGGGAGGAGGCTATGACTTCTTAGGGCTGAGAGGAAGGAGCAGAGGGAACAGGTGGACCCCGACTGTGCCTCTGTGCCCCTCCCTCCCCAGTGGCACACAGCCTTGCCTCTGGGTGCTCAGGCTGAGCCGTGGTGGTGTCCTAGGTGCTGTAGCACTGGTTCCCCTTTCGGCCTTTGCTTTGGGCTTTGGCATCATCCAGGATGTCATCGGTCAGGCTGATGTAGGAGCTGAGGGCCTCCCGGAGCCCCTCGCTGAGCAGGGCCGCCTCCCCTGAGGCAGAAGCTTCAGAGAACAGGAGGGAGCTACGGAGAGTGGAAAAGAGCCGGGTCAAGGAGCACTGTCCTGAACTCACCACACCGCTCACCATCTTTAAGTCCCTCCTGCTGGAAAGTTTGGAGTGGCTCCCCATTCCCTATCAAGTGAAACCCCAGCTTGACTTCTCCCCTCGGGACTGGGGCTCTTCGTTCTACCCCATCTTGTCTGGCCTCCCTCTCGTCCTGGCCACCCCCTCGTCCTCGCCGCCCCCTACCCGTGCTGAGCCTGGGCTGGCCTCTGAGGACTCCGTCAGTGCTCACTGGCTCCCGGATCCCCACAGGTGACAGGCTCATTCTGGGTTGTGGGTTTCCAGGGGTGAATTCTAACTCCTTTGTTCTGCCTTCATGTTCCAGGCGTCCCCTCACCTGTCCAATTCTTTCCAGTTGAGGGGCTCCGTCTGCACAGTTACTGGTAGGGGTATGTCTTTGCCAGGGACTGGGGCGGTTCTCCGCAGGGCACAGGGCTGCTTGAGGAGGCAGCAGATGTCATCCGCCAGCTCTGAGAAAGAGACCTAGACCCTTGACACGTGGACTCCAGCCCTGCTTTCCTCCCCGACAGCCCCACCCTCCCCGACACCTCTACCTTGGCAGATGGAGCGTGGTCTAAAGAGTTAGTTACAGGGCATAACTCCAAGCTGTCGGTCTCCTACAAGCTGAGATATCAAGTCATCCTGGGCTACGTCTGGGGAGACTGAACTGACTGTGATTTGGGGTAAGTTGACAGGCCCCTTTGAGCCCAGTCTCTGGCTAGGACAGTGCCTGGGGAGGCTCCATCTCCGCTTGTCGTGCCAGTACCACTGCCTGTTACTGCACAGGCACCAGAAAATGCTAAGAATCAACTGAATTCCACAACAGCAACAGATGGGGGCCTAGTTCTTGGGGGAGAGAAAGCTTTGACTCAGAACACAGTGGTGGGCGAGTTACGGGCCTGCGCTTACACGGTGGGTCTGTGGCTCTGTCAGGGCGTGGGATGGGGGGCTGCCAGCCTGCGTTTCTAGGTTCAGGGACTGGCACGAAGATAGGGGAGGCCCTTCTTCCGTCTGTCTGGATATTTTTCCAGGTGACATGTCTAAGGACACAGGGACCCCTACAACCCGAATCCTAGCCTACTCTCATGGAGGCAGGGGGAGGCCATACCAGAGTAATGGTCCACCAGGGCCTGCAGTGAAGGGAAGGTGAGGCGCGGCGAGATGTACAACCAGCCATTGTCAAGGCGCTGGATCCTGTAGTGTCTGATCCGGTCCCAGGATGCAGGGCGGCTGAGGCGGACTGACAGGGAGTAACAACCTGAGGAGGAAAGGGTCCACGGTGGGACTGAGGCCCTTCGGGACGGCCCTGCCCTGGCTGGGAGGAGGAAGAGGTGAGGTGGCCACAGAGAATAGCCCTGAGCCCATGCAGAAGACAAGTGGGCAGGGAAGGACAAAGTCTTGCTCTCTGGGTCATAAATGACAGTACGTATCTAACAGGTAGGGCTCTTGTGAAGATGAAATGAGATCACAGACACGCAGCCCTCGGTACAGAGCCTGGCACAGTTTAAATGAACACTCAGCATTGGCTGTTAGAAAGACCCAGGTGGGCAGGAGAGTCAGAACGTGCAAATGTGTCAGAGATGTTGGCAAGGACATGGAGAGAGGAACTCCCTCACCCTGCTGGAGAAAAGCAGTGGTACACGCGACTCTGGAAGCAGCTGGCATGAACTAGTAGTACTCACAGCCCAGCAGCTCTGTCCCAGGGTGTTCCCTTAGAAAGGCATGAACAATATTCATAGCAGCGCTGTTGGGAAAAGCCCGCGAACAGCCCACATGCACTCAACAGGATGGTGGATGATACAGTGCGAGACCACACAGCAGTGAGTTAATAACAACGAAACATAAGCACAGCTAAACCTCAACAATAATGAGCAGAAGCAGCGAGTCACAGAAGCATACACTCTGCATGATTCTATTTATATAAAGGTCAAAGGCAGTCAAACTATTACGGGTGTATGGCGAAGCTATAAAGAAAATAACTGATTATCAGGGACATGTACACAAGGGGCTTCCGAGGGACCGTACAGTTAACCTGGTAATTGGGCACCTGGATGCTGGTTTTCTTATTAGTCTTTATATATGTACAGTATATACAGGGATTTGGCAGAATTTTTCCAGTTTTGCTTTTTTTTTTTAGTTTTTAAAATCAACTTCATTGAGGTATAATTTACATATAATAAAACGCACACATTTAAAGTGCACAGTTTCTTGGATTTCAATAAAAGTTTTACAAAACTGGCCAAACAAAGAAAGCACATGCTTGAAAAATATAGAAAAAAACTGTAAAATCATTGTAATACACAGGTCTCCAGTAATTTTCAGCAGAGAAGGATGCATACTCCACCTTGATAGCTAAGGTGGGGTTCATTTCTTAAGTCAACACTCCATCAAAGCCAAGTAGGAAGACAGTGCTCAGTGAAATAGTAAAATTCCGTTATTACTATCATCTAATGATCTAAAACCATCTGTAGCTTTCATTTATTCTGTGTAACTATGTGCCTTATATGGATTATCTCATCTAATTCTTACAACCACCCAATGAGGCAGGTACAGTTATTCCCTCCTCACAAATGTGACACGGGAAACTGTGTCACGGACAACCCGGAGGAGGCGGTAAGCCCGTCAGTTACCCTCTCTCTGTGGAACGCTAACAAGAGGCAGGGATGAATCCCAGCCCGCAGGCACTGATTAGTTTTAGGAAGAATTTATTTTTTTATTTTACTTTAAATATTTTATTTACTTATTTTTAGAGAGAGGGGAAGGAGAGGAGAAAGAGTGGGAGAGAAACATCAATGTGTGGTTGCCTCTCATGTGTTCCCTACTGGGGACCTGGCCTGCAACCCAGGCATGTGTCCTGACTGGGAATGGAACTGGCCACCCTTTGCTTCTCGGGCCTGTGCTCAATCCACTGAGCTACACCAGCCAGGGCAGGAAGCATTTATTTTTGAGAAAGTGAATTAAACACTCCAATGAAAGGGCAGAGATTTTCAAACTGCATTAAAAAAAAGCAAGACCTAACTATATCATAAATGTATTTTGTATATTAAGACCCAGGCTAAAAGTAAAATATATATCATGTAAACATTAACCAGAGGAAAGCTGGAGTGGTTATATTAATACCAGACAAAGTAGAATTCAAGACCAACAGTATTACCAGGGATATGAGGGACATACCAAGAAGACCTACAAAATCTTGATTGAGTGCCACCCTGCGAACCAAAGGGTTGCCAGTTTGATTCCCAGTCAGGACACATGCCTGGGTTGCAGGCCAGTTCCCAGCAGGGGACTCATGAGAGGCAACCAGACATTGATGTTTCCCTGCTTTTCTCCCTCCCTGCCCCTCTGTCTAAAAATAAAATCTAAAAAAAACCCTTGAGTTTGTATGTACCCAATTACAGAGATTCAAATTATATGAAGCAAAAGTAACAGAATAAACAGAAACAAAATAGATAACCATAATTATAATTGGAAATTTCAGCATTCCTCTCTCAGAACTTGATAGGACAGAAAATCAGTAGGGCTACGGAAGACGTGAACAATACAATCAACCAATTCGACTTAATTCACACAGGACACTGCACTTATCAAGGCTGCACATTTTCCTTCAAGTGCATATGGAATATTTGAGGTGGACTTCAGACTGGGCTGTAGAAACAATTTAAAAAGATGAAATCATTAAAGGTTTGTTTGCTGATCACAACAGAACAAAAACAAAATCCGTGAGCACAGCTAAGTCAGTACTTAAGGGTGCGTTTCTAGCTTTACATGTTTACATTTAAAGGAAAAAAAAGTATAAAATAAACTTCCACCTTAAAAAGCTACACATATAAGAATTTTAAGTAGAAAGAAGGAAAGATAAAGCAAAAATAAAAAGAAAAATAATAGAGAGAAATCAAATCAAATGCTGATTCTTCAAAAAAAGATTTGTAAGATTGATAAACCTCAAACTAGACTAATGAGGAAAAAGGGAGCACACAGAGTACCAATGTCGGGACGGAGAGGGGACATCGCTACAGGCCCTACACACATTACAAGGGTAATAAGGGCGTAATATGAGCCACTTTACACCAGTAAACTCCACAACTTGGATGAAATGAAGAATAATTTATAATTTTCAAACTTCCCATAAAGAAGACCAGGTCCAGACAGCTTCACTAGTAAGCTCTGTCAAACATTTGAAGAAGAAATAATACCAATTTCACACAAATTCTTTAAGAAAACAAATGCCAGAACACTTCCCCTCCCATTTGATGAGGCCAGCATCACCTTGATGTAAAAACCAGACATTACAAGAAAAATATAGACCTATATCCTTCATATATGTATACACAAAAAATCCTTCATAAACTTATCAAATTAAATCCAGCAATACATAAAATACATTATGGCACCCTGGCTGGTGTGGCTCGGTGGACTGAGCACTGGCCTGCAGACTGAAATGTCGCTGCTTCCATCCCCAGTCAGGGCACATGCCTGGGTTTCGGGCCAGTTCCCCAGTTGGGGGGGTGTGAGATGCAACCGACTGATGTATCTCTCATACATTGATATTTCTCTTCCTCTTTTTCTCCCTTCATCCCCCTTAAAGATTTAAGTAAATCTTTAAAACAAAAAGTATAATAGTTTCTTATTGCTAGTTCTATGAAATTATATGAATAAGAGCCTAGTGGCCACTTGTTGACAGGTGCTTCTCACTCTGTACAGGAGGAAGAACCTCAGACTGACCTCTCAGCTGCCCATACTGTACCCTGCTTGTTTATGCTGAGTCAGTCCCTGCAGGGAGATCCTGGTATTCTCTTTCCCTTTCTCCCCCCCCTCTCCCCCCTCCCCTGAACCTCCCTTCCTCACTTGAGGACATTTTTTCATAGAGAGAGAAACATTGATGTGAGAGAGAGAAACATCAGTTGGTTGCCTTCTCATATGCGCTCCAACTGGGAACCTGGGTATGACTGGGAATCAAATCCACAACCTTTCAGTTTATGGGACGACGCTCCAATGAGCTCAGCCACATCAGACAGGGCTCTGGTACTGTCTCTCAACCAATGGACTGAAACCTGCCCTGTTCAATCAGAACTGCACAATTGTATTCTCATTTGCAGCTATACCAAACAATCAGAACTGTCCTATAATGACCAATCAGAACTGTATAAATTTGAAAACCTCATTGGCATAAAAGTGGGCCGATTGGGAAGTTTCTCTATAAAAGGCGACCTCCCCTTTGTCTCAGCAGAGTGCCCTTTCAGTTTCCACCAGAAACTGCATTTCCCTGGTTTGCAACTTGCTTCACCTGAATAAAGGCTCTCCTTCTCTGCACTTTGCTGGATATCTTTTTGACATTGGGAACAGCAAAAATGTTCTCACCACTTCATTCATACTAGAGGTCCTAGCCAGTGCAATAAAGCAAGAAAAAGAAATAGAAGATATATGGATTGGAACATATACTGCATTTACAGAGGATGTGATCATATATGTAGAAAATCCTAAGAAATCTATAAAAAAAAGCTACTAGAACTAACAAGTAAATTTTGCAAGGTACAGGGTACAAAGAGAAGGGTGGAGTAGGGTCCATGCTTCCTTTTCTTTGTTCTCTATCTGATTCTAGAGCTCCCTGACCTCTGTACTTCTAAGAAGAGTCTCTTATGGAACTGTGCTGTGACCTTGAAAAAACCTCTATTTAGAAAGGGCTGAATATCTGAAAATAGGCCCCAGAGGACAACCAACCAACTAAACCAGATGACCAAGTCCCTACATCCTCTGCATGGTTCTTCAGCCATAGAGACCTATCAACCCCATTGTGGGGACAGGTCACCTACCCAGGCCATCTGTGACTGGCCTATGTGCCTGGTATCCTACCTTCTCCCTGCACATTCCAGCCAGTCCCAAGTACCTACTGCTGTCTCCCAGTTCCAGGACATCACCTTTCTAACTCAGACTCCCCAGGTTCAGATCACACAAAGAGCCACATCTATAACGCCATCCCCCTACCTGTGTCTTTAATGCACATTACTTAACCTCTCAGATCTGCTTCTTCATCTGTAAAGAGTGACAATGATTGTCCCGTCTGACCAGATCACTGTGAGGATTCAGGTGGTAAAGTTGGTAAAACATTTAGCACTGTCTGGCACATAGCAAGCACCTGATAACCCTTATCAGACCCCTGGCCCTTTGCTTGCACTGTTACTTTTATATATAACCCTGTTCCACCTGAGTAACCCCTGTCCCTCCCTTTACAACTCTGTTCTGCTCAAACAACTCCTTCTCCACAACACCCTCTCTGCCTAAGAGAAGCCCCAGCTCTAGGCTTGCCCAGGCACCAGTGCTTTGTGGCACCAAGAGTCCTGCTCTGCCATCATCTGTCCCTCAACCCTGCCCCTCCCCCTGCCCCACATACACAAAACCAACCATGAGCCTCCCAAGGGATGGTTCTGAGTTGTCCCCCTCTCTCAGAAAACAGCAGCACTATTCATCACTACTAAGTCCCTCACGCTGGACTCATCCTTGACTACTGCCTGCCTCTCAAACCTCACATCCAACCCAACAAAAAACCCTGCTGGCTACATTCAGAACACAGAATCTGACCACTTCTCACCTGGTGGAACCTGCAGTGAGTTCCCACGTGGCTTCCCAGTTCCACCCTACCCCTGCCAAATTCTCTTCACAGCAGTTGGGGGGGATTAGTTCATATCATTCCCCTACTCAGAACCCTCCCTGTCCAAATCTGAAGTCCTCACATCCTGGAAAGGCTTCGGAAGGCCTAGCAATGTCACAGCCTGGCCTGCAGGGACCTCTGGGCTCAGGCACCACGCTTTCCCAGGTGTTCCTGTGACGATGCCAGGAGGAAGGGTGGGGTCCACAGTGGGCTCAGTCTAGGAGCTGTGTGGGAGGTGGACTCAGCAGGATCCCCCTGACCTCCTGCTGCTGAGGTCTCTGAGAGGCTGACAGCCCTGAGGAGGCTGAACCTGGACCCTCCACTGTCTGCAGCCTGAGGTCAGGAACCATGAGTTAGCAGGCCTGACCCCCAGGAGATGCACACTAAGTGTTTCCTGACAGGGTGACAGAGGTGAGCTCCTCAGTGGCAGGAAGCATGTCTTACTCATCAATTGCCTTTGCAGCACCCAGCACAGAACAGACACATAGTAGGACGGCAGGAAAGCAAGGGGATGATGCTGTTGGGGCCTGGCCCTAATGCTGACCTCTGGAACAATCCTGTGACCTCCACAAAGTCTTCAGTGCCCCTTCGCAGACCAAGGTTTTGGACCTGACTTGGGCCCTGCCCCAGCGTCCCCCAGCCTAGAACACAGTCAGGTATGCCAGAGGGACTCTGACGAAATGGGGTCGGGGGGGCTTTCCCCTCCCCACTCCAGCCTCTGAGTAGGGCTCCTGGGAACTCACAGGCCCCAGGCCTCCCTCCTCTGTCGACACACCACAGGCTCGAATCCCATGCAGAATTCCCTTCCCAGTGGTACATCTGGACCTTGGGCGGAAGAATAGCTGGTTCTAATATCACTCATTTAGTCAACAGCTAACCACCGTTACATATGACAAGACACACTGTATAAAAGTAAAACACATGGTCTCTCAATATTTAATTCTGGATTCCCTTGATTGGAAGTGTGTTGTCAGACTTAAAGAACATAGGCACCATGGAAGGGTGGGGGCATTGTGAAGGAAGCAGATCTCTGACCGCTGGGCCAACATTCGGTAGGTCTGAGGCGGGGCTCGAGACTGCACTGCCCTCACTGCTGTAGCTCTGTGGGCTGGGCATTGTTCTACAAGCTGAAAGTCACTGGTTTGATTCCCAGTCAGGGCACAAGCCTGGGTTGCAGACCAGGTTCTCAGTTGGGGGTGCGTGAGAGGCAACCAACCGAGGTCTCTCTCACATGTTGGGTGTTTCTCTCCCTTTCTCCCTCCCTTCACGCCTCTGTAAAAAGAAATACATAAAACCCACGGAAGCATAACTTAAAAAAGAGGCAGCCCCATAGGGCCCCGCCGGACGATTCCTGTGTGCTGAGGCCTGAGAAGTGCGGCTCCCCAACGTCACTCGGGCCCCCAGAGCTGCGGTGTTAAACTTCCTTTGACCACAAACCACAGTACGAAATTTTACACTATGACCCAGGACACAAACAAAAGTCTGATGAGAGCAATCTTTTCCCCAACCTCAGTGATGCCCTCTCGTGTTTTCTGCTGTGCTTCATCTCACTCAGTGGTCCAGATCCACTAAATCAGGGGATTACACAGCCCTGGGATTCCACCCTGGCTGCACCTCAGAATCAGCGAAATCACAAAGACACGCATCCATCTGTTCACTGCAGCATTGTTTACAACAGCCAAGATATGGGAGCAACCTCTGTGCCCATCAACAGATGAGTGGACAAAGAAGAAATGGTGCATATATACAGTGGAATATGACTCATTCATAAAAAAAGAAAAAGAACAAAATCTTGACATACGCAACAACGCAGATGGCCCCAGAGGGTATTGTGCTGAGTGAAATAATCAGACAGAGAAAGACAAATGCTATATGATTTCACTTATATCTGGAACGTAAAACAAACAAATAAATGAACAAGCAGACCAGAAAGAAGAAAAAACATGGAATCACCACCTGGGGGGCTTTTACAGATTCCAGGACCCAGGCCAAACCCCTGACCTATTAAATCAGAAATTCTGGGGGTGGGTGCGGGCATCAGTAGTTTATAAAACTCCCACAGACAATTCCAATGTGCAGCCAAGGTCTAGATCAGCGGTTCTTAAAGTGTGGTCCCCAGACCAGCAGCAGCAGCAGCAGCAGTACTTGGGAACTTGTCAGACAGGCAGATTCTCAGAGCTCAGCCCTGAACTACCAAATCAGAACTGCTGGGTGTGGGGCCAGTTCTTTGTTCTAACCAGCCTTCCAGATGATTCTGCTGCCTGCCCAACTCTGAGACCCACTGGTCACTAACAACTGAACCAAACTGATTTCTTGGCCCACAGATGAGTAATGGCCTCCAGCTTGACAAACTGTCCAAAAGGAAGCCCCAGATGAGAGATTAGAAGTTACTACCAGGGAAACATCTGCCTTTCCTGCAGAATTAGTGAATTTCTTCCTTTTTTGATACTGAGAGAGCTACATTCTGATCTATCACCATGGTGTTGGCTACAGGCAAGCTCAGAGTCAAATCTAACCTTAATCTCAGTAACAATGTGGATCCTCACCTGCTTTCTCCTTTATTTCTCAGCTCTATGTGCCTTCTCAGGAAAGGGGCAGAGAAGCAACAGGGCTGGTCAGCATGTTCTTGGGGTTGAACTGGGCCAGAGAAGAGGGGCAGAGCTGAGCTCGAAGCACTTCCTGTGGCTTTCAGTGCTCACTGGGGCCCTGTCTACACACCCTGACCCACGTAGGCACCACCGCTGCGGTTTCCTGTTTGCAGCTGCAACCCTCGGACCCAGTCCCCACCCCCACCCCAGAGAGCTGATGGGTGTGCATGAGGGTGGGATGCCCACTCTGCCTGGAAATAGCAGGAAGGCTGGGGAGTAGTCAGCCCAGGAGCTCCATGAAGAAGGGGAGGAGAGGTAAGGGCTCGCTGGAGGAGCCCCAGGAGGGAGATTGAGTTGAGAGTGAAGGACCCCCACTGCCCATCACAGCTGGTTCAAAGTCGGACAGGAAGCTGGTCCTCACTTCCGAGCATCCCCTCTCCAGGCCACCACTGTGCTCGCAGTCCCAACGTGACTGTCACGTGTGGGCCTTTCTTGGGTGTTTAAAGTGAGATGAACCCCAGCTGGGTTTGAATCCCAGCGCTGAGCTCCACAGGCAAACTGTTTCTCTTCTCTGAGCCTCAGTTTCCTCATCTATAAAATGAGGACAATGGAAGAACCACCCCCACAGGGCTGTTTGAAGAAACTGAGAGGGCCTAACACAAATGTGGGCGCTGCCACTCCTTCAACGTCCCTCTCTGCCTCTGTTGCAAGGGCCTGAGGACAGCAGCTCAGAGGGGACAAGGCGTCAGAGACAGGCTCCATCAACTTTGCATAGTGTTTCATTTGCACAGGCCCTGCAGCTGAGGTGGGAGAAGTCCCAAATGACTACAGCATGGCAGGGCCCACGACTCTGGTCCTCCTCCGCCATGTGAACAGCTGAGGGAGGAAGGTCACGAGATGACTTCCACAGGGTTTTCTGGCTCTGACTGGCTGGTGCTCCAAAGCACAGAGACCTTGTCAGTTTGTCTGCTTTCTTCCAAGAGAGCAGGACCATGCTGTGTCTTGGGGAGGGAGAAACCACTGCTGGTCAGGGAAGGAAATCCTGCAACTACCCTCCATTGCACGGGCTGTCAAGCATCGCTGAGCCTGGATCCCCATTATGGGCCTTTCGCACCCCGTTAGAGATGCAGGTTATTGCTGCTCATGGGATCTCAGAGCAGCCTCATAGCAGACGGCCAGCCAGACTGCCTGACTCCGTCCTCCGCACTTGGTGTCCGACCTCTGCCCCCAGTCACATCACACTTGGCTCTTGACATTCAAGAGAGAGGCCCAGGCTGGGGCCGAGCTTACCCACCTCTCCTGGTCTGGCTCTCTCGAATGAGGAAGGCCCCTCCCGGGTTCCCAGGCAGCAACAGCAGTTCCTCAGCTTTCTCCCGGCTCAGGCCCTCATACAGCCACCTGGAGAAGCAGCAGAGGCGGATCGACCTGGGGGTTAGTGGGCCGAGATGCTAAAGGAACCCCTCCCCTGTCTGGGGGCCTCAGAGGTGAAGAACTGGCCTCAGGGTCTCCAAGGGCTCCACCCCAGCCTTTTCTACCTGGAGACCTCATTCCCAAGGGTCTGGGGAGCTGGGGGCAAGTTAGGGGATCTTGGCCTTTCTCCACCACTGCCAAGTCTCCTACCACCTCTATGCTACTCACTTTTCCAAGCCTTCACCCTTCCAAGAATTGCCTGAGTGTGCATGTGTTTTTAAGCTTAGCAAATACTTTATTTGGATATTTTAAAGTTTAACTTTGTAGCCAAAGGTATGCAGGTGAGCCTTTATTCATTATCACTGAAACATAACTAGCATTAATGCTGATTTGTGGACAGAAAGACTGAAACTCAAATGTTCAAAATGTTTAAAACTTTTTAAATGTATTGCCTTTAGAGAGAGAGAGAGAAAAGGGAAAAGAGAAACACTGATTTATTGTTCTACTGATTTATGCATTCACTGGTTGCTTCTTGTACGTGCCCTGGCAGGGACTGAACCTGTAACCTTGGCATGGGGGGATAATGCTCTGATGGACTGAGCTACTCGGCCAGGGCAGGGCATCTGAAAGTTTGGAACACATCCTGCAGCTCGGTGATCACTGTATGTGCCTCCCAAAGCACAGCCCTTCCACAGCCCTGCTCCTTGGTGCCTGTCTGTGCTGGAATGTTGATCACTCTGATCCCACGTTTTCCTTCCTCTTTTCACTTAACCCCTATCTGTCTACTTATGTCTACTATGGACTTAACTGTAATGGGAAGTGCAGGGTAGTTCTGTAGGAACTTTTTGGTTTTCTAGTCCATCAGCCTCAGAGGTCCCCAGGGTCACAGGTCCTGTGATCCCAGTGGAGGCCTACAGGAGCTGATTCAATGGAAATGGCTGCCTCTGTGCCATGTTGTGAAATTCCACAGTCAAAGCCACAGTCAGGGTTGAGCTGATTCCAAGTGAATAAATTAGAGAAGCTAATTGGTGCCAGCAGCAAACGTAGTTTCTTTTTATAGTAAATAAAACAAGTCTTTCTTGTTGACGTAGGAACACTGTCACGCCTACGAAACCCGAGGGTGTCAGTGAAGGAGTAGCCAGGGAAGGGCACTCGTGGAGGCAGTCAACGCTCCCCAACTTAAACTCAGTGCCACGCCGTGGACGCTGTGACGTAGAGCCGCTAGCAGTTGGCGGCCCACGCCATCAGGAAACCCATGGCAAGGAGGGCTTCACCCGGTGTGCAGATGAGCCCTGTGTGAGGTCCCACACTGCAGGAGCCCCGTGTCCATCTCACCAGAGCCGAAGACCAGGCAGGGCCTCCAGGGCTGGAGCCGCACTTTGCAGAACTGAAGAGCCACTGTCGCCGCAGTGCATTTGTACGGGGACACCTTCCCGACCCTGTGTTGCTCAGGTAAGATCCCTCTGAAAGCAGTTCACTGCCTGTCTCTCCCTTGGAGAGAATTTGCTGGAGTCGGTTCCTTCCGTCACTCGCTTTTGGAGAGAGATGGCTCCTGCTTTGTAGGAGACCCTGTGTCCTGCGTCTGGCTCTCCCTCAGAAGGACAGGCCCTGAAATGGGCCACCGCCCCTTTGTGTTCTTGCCTCAGGACATGTATTCAGGCTGCTCACATCTCTGGCAAATCCCTTTCAGCTTCTCCACCGCCACATCCCCACCCCCCCAGCCTCCTCCTCTGGCTCATGCCTTTTGCAGGCCAACCTAAGAGAGCAAGCTATCTGCTCCTCTTGAGGGCAGGGCCTGGTCTGATTCGCCCATACCCGGCTTTGCTGGCATAGGACTAGGCATAAAGGACTACACCTGTGGGAAGAGAGAGCAGAAAGGTCCCCTAAGGCAGGGCCTGGAGTGAGAACTCACCCATGGGAGATTTTGGCCACGTGGACGCTTGGGACACTGTACTCTCTGCCTGAGACCTCCGACAGCACCGTCCACCAGTCTCCGTCCCTGCAGAGGGAAAGCAGGGATACTCCTCTCAGAAGGGCCCTCCACACTAGATCCCACCTGAGCTTCCCAGGTTTCCTTGCACCAGCCAATCCAGGTACCCCCTGGGCGGTAGGTGGCATGACTCGGGGCCCCCTGTGTGGTCTGTCAACCCATGCGTCTCCCTGCAGGTGTGTCCTGCTGCCTGAAATCCCACCGTCAGGGCCACACGGCCGCATGGCACCAAAGGCCATGTTCTTTTCTCCTGGAGAGAGTAGCCCTTTCTCCCATCTTCAGGTATGGGGGCAGGAAGCAGAGCATCCCACACGGTGCCCTTGGAATGACTTACTCAGCGGTGATGGTCAGCGGCTCCCCCAGTCGCAGTGACAGCTCTGCCTGCTCGCCTACTGGGAAGTTGCCCAGGGCCACAGCTCTGGCCCCGCTCTTCTCTGGAGGGAGGGACAGAGATGGTCACCTTCTTGGCCAGCCCTTTCTCCAGATACGAGGTCTAGTGCGCTCTGGGATCCCACCATCAGCCCCGCCACAGGCAGCCTGGGCCGATTTTTACACATCCTCTCAGACACACGTGGAGATCCCTGTGGTGACCCCAGATAGGGGCTCCTCAGAGCCGGGGATCGCTCCTTCTCTGAACTACCTGCAGCACAGGGCCTGGCCACCCCGCGGTGTGGGGAAACTCCTGCTGCCTGAATAAGTAATGCAACCGAGTGTTATGGGGGCGTCCTACAATAAGGGTGGGCCCGGGTGTCCAGGAAGGGCCCCTTCCCCTCTTGGAACCGCTGAGCAGCATGTGCTGTCTTCTCAACTGTCCCCCTCCACCTGGCTGACTCACTCTTATCCTTCACTCCCCCGATGAAACGGCTCTTTCTTTGGGAAGCCTTCCCTAACAAACTCCCTAACACTCTTGGTCAGAATCCCTTAAAACACATTGCTGCCAAAGTCTAACACAATGTGACTGATTATTGGTTAAGCACCTGCCTCTGGGACTTGACTGTCCCTGAAGGCAGGGACTGAGCCTGTCTTGTCTACTGCTGTGACCCTGGTCGGGTGTGTACAAGGCCTGGCTCAAAAGCCTTAGATTTTGGATGGCTGCAAGGCCGATGGACAGAGGACTCATGGGAGGGGTTGCCCCAAATGTGTGCTTCTGCTGGGACCAGAGATAAACCTATTGAGGGGACCGTCCTTTCTCTGGAGACCCTGGCAGAGGGGGTAACAGCTCATCTCAGATTCCAGAGGCAGGACACTTGCATGGCAGGGGTTGGGGGAGTCGGGGGGAGGGGGAAGGGCGGGGGTCACCCTGCCTCAGCAGCTTGGGCATGACTCAGAGCAGCCTTGGGGCCGCTGCCGGTGGCTTGATTTGGAGGAAATGAGGTGAAGGTCTGTGTGGTTTACAGGTCTCTTTCCGCTCTGCCTGCTGGGCTCCAGGCTCTCTGTGCACACTGAGTGGCTACAGGACCTAGGGCTTTGGGACTTGATGCCTGCAGGGCCGGGGTGGGGGTGGGAGTGGTATTGGGAGATGATATTGGGGGCAGGGGCTGAGGAGAGGGAAGGAAGCCCCAGCCAACACAGGGGTTTTCAGATTCCAACAGCTCCTGCCTGAACACTGAACAGGCAGGCGCTCGGCTCTGCAGTCTCCCCGTTCTGTTCTGTGTAAGTGTGTATCCATGTCCTTCCTCCTAAAAGTGCTGCTTGGCTTGGAGTAATCTTGTGATCTGTGATGGTTAATTTTATGTCTCAGTGTGGCTAACCCACGGTGCCCAGACATTTGGTCAAACACAAGTCTAGATGTTGCGGTGAAGGTATTTTTTAGATGAGATTAACATTTAAATCAGTGGACTCTGAATGAAACGCAAGGGGGTGGGCCTCTTCCAGTGAGTTCGAGGCCTTATGAGAGACCTTCAGGGAAGAGGGGATTCTGCCTCCAGGCCGATCTCTGGAGTCCTGCAGCCTTAGCTCTCCCTGGTCTCCAGGCCGACCTCTGGAGTCCTGCAGCCTTAGCTCTCCCTGGTCTCCAGGCCGACCTCTGGAGTCCTGCAGCCTTAGCTCTCCCTGGTCTCCAGGCCGACCTCTGGAGTCCTGCAGCCTTAGCTCTCCCTGGTCTCCAGGCCGACCTCTGGAGTCCTGCAGCCTTAGCTCTCCCTGGTCTCCAGGCCGACCTCTGGAGTCCTGCAGCCTTAGCTCTCCCTGGTCTCCAGGCCACCCGCCTGCCTGCCAGCCGGCCCTGCAGATCTGAGACTCTCAGGCCCCCGCAACTGCACCAGCCAGTTTCTTAAAATAAATTTTCTGTCTACACACACGCACGCACATGCACGCTATTGGTTCTGTGGTTCAGGACTCTGATGAATACATTACCAAAACCCCAAATCAGGGTGATTTGACAAAGAACTTGTGAGCTATTTTGGGGAACAAGAAACAAGCTGGGGACTGTATCTTTAACATCAAAATCATAGAATTTATTTTGATTGTCTAATTGTCCTTAAAAGTAGCATTTTTAGTCAGGGCTACCCTAGAAAATAACAGCTATTGGTTCAGCATAGCACTGTATGTGCTCATTTTTTCCAGTTGTCACAGATCTAATTTTGCTTCCAGTATTTAACGGCACCACTCATGCTAAGAGGAGGGACTCTGGAGCATCACTGTCTAGTAGAACTAACTTCCTGTGATGATGGAAATGTTCTATAATTTTGCTGTCCAATTAAGGTAGCCGCTAGCTACATGGACTGGAAATGCAGCTAGTATGGCTGAGGAGCTGAATATTGAATTTTATTTCATTTAAATGAATCTTAACTTAAACTTGAACAGTGCATGTGACTACAGGCTACTGTAACAAACAGTGCAGGTGTGGAGAGCTACAGAAGTGGGACTGGTCTTAAGAGTAGCCAGCTTAGTCTCCCAATAAATTGGCTGAGAAGAAAGGAAGCCTTGGGAGACATCTGGGGGACTATCACACCCTCTTTGTTAGCACCTGTCACTCTCATTTTCTACTTTACCAGGCTGTTTAATGTTGACTGCTAAAATGTAAGCTCTACCTGTACAGCGCACCAGGTAGGGCCTGGTGTACAGCAGTCACTCATTGACACTTGAAGCTGTGCAGCCTCCTGGGGCCTGGGGGAGACCTGGCTGTCCTGAGCCCTGTGGCTTACCTGGTTGCTTGGGTACAGGGCCCTGGTCTTGGACAGAGGTGCTTGAGCTTGGGCTTGGCAGGGTTTTCCCTCTGCTGGGCTGACTTCCCATCGTTCCCTAGCAGAACTCTCAGAAGCACATTGTCGAGAGAAATCTGAAAGAGATGCTGTGATGGGGATGGAGCTGTGTGGCTCCAGGCCCGGCCCCCGGACATTCTCCCTCCCTGGCTCTGCCCTGCTGACCTCTTTGCAGATGCAGGCAAATAATTTCCCTCCCATCAGGACCAGGTTCCAGCCCTTTCCCCAGGCCCTGAAGGCTCTCTGCACACTGGAGCCTGCTTTCTCTCATCTTTACTATGCTGCAGCCACGCTGCGCTGTTTCTCGGCCTGCATGCGTGTGGCATGCCCTGCTATTGGCTGGAATGCCCCTTTCCCCCCTTTAGGGCTCTTGAGAACCCACCCCATCCCAGAAGCTTTCCCTGAATCCCCAGCTCTCCCTGATCCTTTGATGGTCTACCCAGAAGCACTGCCTGAGCTAGAATCGTCTTCTGCTACTGTGTGACGGGATAACGACAGGGCAGAGTTCAGTCCAGGCACACCAGGATCTGTGGCTCAGGTTAGAAGTGGGCAAGGGGGATCTACCGTCGCAACCTAAGGTGACACTGAGCAAACTTATTGGTGTCACAGGGCAAAGTAGGATGACTGGGAGGCTGTATGACAGTGACTTGCAAGGCTCTGGAGGGCTGACTGTCAAGCCACTTCCTCTCTCTCTGCCTCCATTTCCTCGTCTGAAAAGTGGGGATAACAATACTGAACACACGGGCCTCGGAGATAACGTGTGAGAAAAGCCCGGCCGGGGCCTGCTCCTCCTGTGTCGCGCCCCGAGTGCCACTTCGCCAGAGCTGCTCCTGGGAGGCTTCTCTTTCTTCCTCGGCTCCCTGTTGTGTTTCTTCCCATTTTAATTATTCATTTAGTAAAGATTTTACTTAGTATACTATTACTTTATAGCTCAATGAAGGCAGGATCTCTCTTTGCCTGCCTTCTCAGCATTTTCTAAGGGCCTGGGCCCTTCAATACACATTAACTAAATGGATGAAAGTAATTGCCCTGGCTGGTGTGACTCAGTGGATTGAGTGCAGGCTGCGAACCAGAGTCGCCAGTTCGATTCCCAGTCAGGGCTCATGCCTGGGTTGCGGGCCAGATCACCAGCAAGGGACACTTGAGAGATGACCACACATTGATGTTTCTCTCCTTCTCTTCCCCTCTCTCTAAATATAAATATTTTTTTAAAAAGAAAGTAATTATTAGCTCCTTGGACAGATGTCTTATCCTTAAAATAATGTAAACTCCCAGGTTTCCAGGGTAATGCCGATTTTTTCAAACACTATTTTAAAGTGTTTTTTTGGGGGGGCTGTTTCATTCTTTTCCGTAGAGACAGGCATAATCACACTAGTTTGGAGACACAGCAGGCTCCTCCTAGCCTTTGAACACTAACACCATGCCTGGGTGAGGACAGGTGTCTGTCACTAGCCTGGACGGGCTTCCATGGCCTCACAGGCCAGTCCTGTCTGGCATACAGACCCTGCCAGAGAAGAAGGAACAATGATCGGTGCAAGGCGTGTACCTCGTTCCACAGTCCCGCGCCGTCGGCGTGTGGTGACAGTGCCCGAGCACCTGTTTCTGCAGCCCCACAGGGAACTCGGTATCACGGGATAGCAGGTCTTTAACATGAAACAGGCCCAGTGGGAAATGGCTCCTGACAGCCACTTCCTGCGGACTTTGGGATCCTGAAGCCTTGGCAGCTCGAGATGCTGCCTCCTCAGGTCTCCTGCCCCTCACTAGGAAGGCACCCCTTTGGGTCAGGTTTTCAACGTTCCTGCTGCTCCCCAGCCTTTCCCCGTAAGTAGGAGGTACAGGCTCTACGCTTAACTGTGCCAACACGGATCCAGAGACTCACAGGGGAGATCTTTCCTGGGAAGCACGGGTGATTAACGTAGGCCAACCAGGCTGAAGCTGTGTGACCTCGGAAAAAGCATGTAACTTTTCCAAGTCTCATCTGTGAACTAAATGTAACACCAAGCCCACAGGGCTACTGGCAGGGGCTGGGGGATGGTGATGGGGTGGGCAGGTTGGGGGGGCTGTGGAGGAGCCTGGCACAGAACGGGTGCTTAGTACAGTTTAGTTTCCTTTTCTCTCCTACAGCAAGACAAAGTCACCACAATCACCAACTGTACTGAACCCAGAAACTTCTTCTCGCTGCAGGTGGAGCTGGGGGATGGGTCTGAAGGAGGCAGAACTGCACTCAGACTGGGAGCCCCCAGGACCCTCCACTGGCTCCCTTCACCTGCCGGGGTCAGGAAGCCTCTCGGGGGTCAAAATGAAGACCACAGGGTGGGCAGGCCTAGGGGAGAAGCTTTGGGCCAAAACTTTGAAAAGTGAGAACCTAATCATTAATTATGTAACTAGGTGAACAACTTACTAGGCACTTTCTAGGGGACGTGCTCCAGTGGTTGGAGGGAAAGAGTTAGTAAAAAGCAGCTGAGGTCTGCACAACGCCCGTAACTGTTTTTTTGATCGTCTCATTGAGAGATTGGCACTTGAATCCCGTTCAGTTACAAGACCCAGGGCCCAGAGAGCACGGCCTCAGGCTCACTGCCACACAGCTCACTATTCGTGCAGGCTGGGTCTTCAGCCCTTCTTTGTGTTTCTATGCTCAGGGATACTTTCTCAGTGTTGGGGTAAGAGTGATGAGTTTGGATTGGGCTCCCTCTCTTTCCCCTGAGAAATACCACCGTTCTGAGAGGAGCTGACGACTCTGGAGTTGATGCAGATTGTGACCCAGACCCCTCTCATACACTGAAGTTGGAAGGCTGGGGCTCAGAGAGGGCTATGAAGTCACACAACAAGCTTGTAACTGAGATGGGACTAGACTGGGCACACAGACAAGCCGTGGGGAGCAAAGTAATTCTCAAGAGAACAAAAGGGGAGGAGGGAGGTCTCAGTTCCTTCAGGGACCTTTAGAAACTACCTCTCTTACAGCCTCAGCAGAAACACTCCTTCTCCTTGAGCACTTCCCCCCAACTGTAAAGCCCACTCCCAGCCTGAGGGGACCATCCCTCCTCACAGTCCCAAGGCCATCAGAAAACAAAAATAAGGGTACTTACTCGTTTCCTGTCATTAGAAGCTTGGAATGGGGGCTCAGCTAAGACGAATGCTTTGGCTGGGGAGGTCAGGGCCTTGGGGGGCCCTCTGCAAGTCTGCCGACATCCTTAGTCCTAGGACATCCCGGACCCTCTTGGTCTAGGAGAATCTTCAGGGAGAGGTTCTCATATCGCTTTGGGTAGCTCTGTACCTGCCTGCGGTCGGCAGTTTGTACACCTGGGATGGGGCTGGAACCCTGACTAGGTGAACCTCCAACCACAGGTGGACCAGGGAAGAAGGCTCAGAATGCTCTGAGGCTCCCGGCTCACATCTGCAGACTCTGTGGTTCTCGCAACCACCCATTTCCTCTGACGGCATCACAGACATCAAGGAGCCACCTTCCCCGAGTTCCTGTTTTCTGGGGGAGAAGCAGCTGCCTTGTCATGATCCTGGAGGGAGAGGGCTTTTCCTGGCCTAGCAGCTTGGTCTTGCCCAAAGAGCACAGAACTGAGGTAAACGAGCAAGTTTCCCATGCTTACCCGATCAGAACAATCACCTGAGGGGCTTGGTAGTATCAGAATCCCGGGATCCTCTCACATCTGAATGCAAGTCACCAGAGGAGCAGCAGAGGAATCTGAATTTTAGACACATTAAGAGATTCCTTTGACTGGCAAGCCTGGGAAGCACTGCCTTGAAGTGGTATGTCCTAACCTTTCATGTGTACGGGAATCACCCAGGGATCTCGTTTAACAGCAGACTCAGGCTCAGTGGGGCGGGATCCAAGATTCTGTGTTGCTAACTACTCCCAGGTGGTATCTGTGTTGCTGGTCTGGGGACACTTGGAGTAGCAGGACCTTTGGGCAGTGGTTTTCTCAATGTGGTCCCCAGACCAGCAGCCTCAGCATCAACCAGGACTTTGCTGACATGCTTGCTGAATTAGAAAACTCCACGGGGCCGGGGGGGAGGGGGGGGGGCGGGGCGGCGGCGCGGGGCGGGCAACAATCTTTCACAATCCCTTTAGGTGACTCTGATACACACTCTAGCTTGGAAATCACTCAGCCAGGATCAAGAATCTTTGATATGATTGCTTTTGACTGGTGTTACCTTCAGTGACTGAAACTTTTAACCCAATTCTTTTTTTAAAATTTATTTATTTTTAGAGAGGGGAAGGGAGAGAGAAAGAGAGGGAAACATCAATGTGTGGTTGCCTCTCACCTGGCCCAGACTGGGGACCTGGCCTGGTACCCAGGCATGTGCCTTGGCTGAGAATTGAACCGGTGACCCTTTGGTTCACAGCCCATGCTCAATCCCATTGAGCTACACCAGCCAGAGCCAGTGACTGAAACTTAAATAAAATCCTGTTTGTTAAAATCTAAATAACTACACTCGCTGCCTTTCCATGAGGGGGACTGATTAGTATTCCTGGAGACATAAAGCATATAATGACCCACTCTACTGATAGAGCTGACTCCAGCTGACTACGCAGCTTTTGGGGGTTCTGGCCAGCTGGGGCACATCCTAGCTCAGGTTCTCCCTTTCTGCCAGGGAAGTTTGGTTTGCGATGAACTCGGCGGGCACGCGGCACGCAGAGTTGAAGGAGCCAGAGTGGAGGTACACGCTCTGTAAGGAAATTCGAAGCAGGACGTGTGAATGTGTGATGGCCAATGATGTGGCCCGTGGTGGGGAGGGAACTGAGCACAGGCCCGCGCTCCTGCTCCTGCCTGCGTACCACTCTAATGCTATCTGACAAGTTTTCCAGACCAGCCTCAAAGTGAGGTTCGTGAATGAGGTAGGAAGTACAGAGTCTCTGGTCTCAAGAAATCCTGCATTATATTCTTCCTTTCTACTCAGGGAGGCACCTAACAATGAGTTTAGAGCCTAGATCTGCTGCTTATTAGTTTGGGGACCATTTCTTATCCACAAAATGGGACTAGTGTGTATCTCACTGGGTCAGTAGGAGGAAACATATAGGAAATCGCTAAAGGTCTGGCCTCTAGTAGGTGATCAATAAAAGGCTGACTGAAATATGAAAATATACCAATTCTGGAAGAACTAGGAACTTTTCCTAGCTAGGCGACCTTGGCCAAATTACTAAAGTCCCTTCGGCTGTTCCCTGTCTGTAAAACATGGCCCATTTTGCAGAGCTGCCTTGAGAACTGGGAAAGATGATTTATATGGAAGAGGTTTACACAATTATCATGTGTGGTACCACCAGGCCACTTTGCTTACCTATCACAAAGCAGACATCAAGATTTTTTTGGACTGAACAGAAAGAAACAAAAACAAGAGGAGGAACGAGTGTGTGGCCGGGAGGGCTGCAGCAGGGTAGAATTTGATAGGAACTGTCGCCACCACACCACCTCCAGCTCCAGGAGTCTGTGGACCGGCAATGGTAGGCACTCAGCCTGGGGACCTGCATCTGCCCACGTGCATTTGCTCCTCCTCCACCAGAACGAGCAGGGTCTGTGTCACTTCACAAGTTTCTTCCGCGGGCATAGCAGCCTCGGTATACTTTGGCAGTAGCGGCTCCTGAGTCGTTCAAAACTTGAGATGGTGACCTCCTGAAATTATTCTTGGATTCGTACAATGACAGCCCCTTCTGGAGAAATACAGTCTGGTCTCTCTGAAGAACTGACAAGTGGTTGCAGATCGTTACTGAGGGCCGGGGCTCAGCAACCTTGAACAGAAGGCAGAGCTGCCATACGGAATGCATTCCCAAGACTTCAGCTTCTTGCCCATCATCACAAATCACATAGTCAAACTTCTCACAGTTTGGGGGTTGAGGGGAACTGAGGATGTGTGAGGTGGACTTGGGATTCTTTCAATCCCAGCTGGGCTTTTGGTATGATCTTGGGTAAATTATTTATCATGAGACTTAACTTTTCACTGGGTGGGATAATGATCGATATGTGAAAATGCCCCACATGGAGCCCATATACAGCAATTTGGTCCCGCCCTGAGCCCCAGTGAGTGGCTTGAAAGAAAGAAGACCAGCAATCGGGTAACAATGAGACATATATAGCTTTATTTAATAACCTGTAAAAAGTCATACTCTGGCAGAGTGACGTATTCCCTATCTTGGCAGAAAGCGAACACTACGACGGAAAAGGCCCTTCCTAAGACCTGGAACTGTGTCACTCTGCTTACATCCTGATGGCCTCAAGAGCTGGGTCCTGGCTGCAGGGCAGCTGGTTTCACCCTCCGCCCAGCAATAACAGTAGTGGACTAAACACAGTTTTACCTGGACAGGCTGCCCTTACAGACTTGCCCCATCCCTCCTAGAAAAGAGAGTTCACAGGATTAAGAATCTTTCTGAAAAATGAGTTCTATCTCAATTTCACTTAGCTTCCATTTAAGTCTGCTGAAATCAAGGCTATGCTTATTAAATACGATACTCTGTTAATGTCTGTTCCTCTTCCCAAGACCATTTCCTCACAACCCATGTAATTTCCAGGCTGTACCTCTCCTTTTAGTAAGGGCTAGGGGGATACGGAAACACTCTCCATCACAGAGCTGGAGGGCATTTCTTGTGGATGTCTGCTAGTGGTCTCAGACAGTTTTGTTCCAGCAGCCGAATGCCGGGTACTTTGTTTTTCACCGTCCTGTGCCAAGAGAGTCCAATTAGGCCACGCTCACTCCTTGGGAACAACTCCATGTTGCATCAGAATCTCATTCATTATTATTGAGCCTCCGAAAGTACACGTCCCTCCCTCCCTTTTATTTACAGAATGGTGTGTGTGAATTCATTTGAATGGGAGGAGGTGGCTGGCCACCCTGCCTGCTTCTCTATGTAACAGGCTCCCTGCTACTGGTCACAATGAACAGTCCAAACAGTAATCACGGAATTACGGTCTTCTACATTCCTCAGAGCTGCTCTCTCCAGAAGTCACTTTGTAAATCACGTTGATCAATTTGGAACCAAGAGTGAATGCAGCGACCTACCCAACCTAGAAATCCACATATTCCCCCTAAAAATACTATTGAAAATGCAAAAAAGGTCCCTTTTTTTTTGTTGCAGAAGCTCTACAAGAAAGCATGTCTAAGATCACAGAAATATGCACACACAGACACGCGTGCTCACACACATACATCAGGATCAAAGAAATCTTATCAGCTATGTAGTTGAGAAAGCATGGGAAAAAAGCTGGCAAGAGAAGATAAGATCTGATCAGCTGAAGATGTTGGAATGTTACAGTAATGACATGAAGTGGTTCCTGGAACATACAAAAAGAGAGGGCGGGCAGGCAGGGAATGATAAATCCAGGATACCAGAGAGAAAGTCACTGGCCATGCAGGAGTTAAAGACAGATCCAGTGTGCTGGATGGAATGTTATATTATGGAGTGGTCATCTGAGGGAGGATGGACTTGCATGGTCCGGGGAGGAGCATCAGCTTAGCAGGACAGCTCCATCGTCTGGTGTCTGTCCAGAACATCAGGGGACTCAGAGGATTCTTGAGTTCCATCTGACTGATTGCTGGTGACAGATCGACTAAAGGCACTTTCTCCAGAGCAGATACTACTCGAGGTTGAGTGGGTTCGTGATCGGGCGAGCCGGGTCATGCTGGCAGATGGTACTGTAAAAGAGAACCAAGAGGACTAGAAGATGGAGCCCTGGTTAAACTCAAGTCAATCCAGAAGTTTCATCAAAGGCTTTATGTTTAGTTTTCCCAATCCATTTAAGGTGACACCCAGGACAAGATATAGCCATCTTCGTTTTGCATTATTTGCTCTAGGTGAGGAGCTATCTGCAAGGCTGCTTTAATCCTCTAGATCTGGCTGGAATCTCAGCTGATTCTAGTCCACAGCAGAACAAGGCAAAACCTAAGTCCAGAGTATAGTCTCTTAGCTATGCCCACGCCATTCATAATGGACAATTAGGAAGGAGGCTTTGGGAACCCACACAGGTAGCCAAAACCTACAGTGCATGCAAGACTAAACCGAAAGAAAGACAAACCACACAAGTATGAAGGTACTTCACAAACACAGTGCAAGCCCGATACAACAAGACCGCTATCCGTGTCCACAGGCTGCCCTTGCTTCCTGGGGAGGAGACACGTAGGACAGTGTGGGTGTAGAGGGGCTGGCAGGCCTGCGGCTGGCCTCTATGCATGCTGCGACGTACAGGCTGCCTGAGAGGGGAGGGGCTCTGGGGTGGGTGTTGAACTCAGACTCCTGTTCTGCCACTGCTTCGATCCTAAGGTCCTCCAACTTGGTCAGAACAGGGTCTTACCTGGCATAACCTCCCTACCAATTTTCCTGAAGCACCAGCCATCCAGCTGTTATTTTAATGCTGGGATGGCATCACAAGATGCCATCACCTGCAGAATTTTCTGGCCACAGGCTCTGACGATCTTATTTAGAATCAAGGCTGCCCTTTGATTCCTGTGTCTGGGGGTTAATGCAAGGATTAGTAGGTAATGGTGGAAGAGGGGCCCTGCCTATAAAGTTTGAGTGCTCCTGTAACTCAATTTAGGATGGTGAGAGGAAACCTGGCTATTTTAACCCGCTCCATTCTACCTTCCGGGGGGCCCAGGGCTGGACCCACAGGCTAATCCTCTTAGGGCGCAATGAGCCACGTTCTATCGGGCTCTCACTGCACAGGAAAACTGCGGACATGCTGCAGGCGGCCAATGCAGCCAGGAGAGCGTGGCTAGGAGGCGGGGGCAGGGCCAGCACAGAGGAAGGTACCTGACTCGGTGCTCAGGTGACTGAGCTGCACATACGGGACTGGAAGCAGGTGGACACATAGGAAAAGGCAGGTTAGTGACCCGAGAGTGCCAACTGTCAACCTTAGCTGCCTAGCAGACACTGACAGAATACTCTAAGCCAGGAATGAAGTTTTGAGGGTCCCAGAGAGAAGGTGAGGCTGACTGATGCTTCAATAACATCTCAGATGCTACTTCTACTCAAGTCCTCAAAGATAATAGTTTTCCCCTCCACTATCAACAGCCACCTCCCTTTTGCTTTGGATTAGAAATGGGCTGGAAGATCAGCTGTTTCCTAGGACAGGGATGAGAGAACCAGCTAGGAAATGGACTTCTGTTCCTCCCAGTAACCCTGAGTGACATGGTGTGTGGGCTTTGTTGGTAGTGGATCACAGACGGGGATCACACAGCCACTCTAGACAACATACACGTGGTCTGCCCGTCAGGTACAGGGCTGTATCCAGATGCCCAGCTGCTGCCCAGGCTGTTGGCCAATGGCTGTTATCCACAAGTACCAAAGACAGGGAAAAACCACCCTAATGGGTAAACAGCTCTGTACCTGGGTGGAAGAGTTTTTCTTCTTAACACTCTGAGAAAGGAGCAAGTGTGGGTATCTGTGACAAATAAGGAAGCTCAGGGGTCTCACAATACAAGGGACCAGGACAGTGGCATGTGATATGAATACATCCTTGGACTCACTCTAAAATACTCTAAGTTTACCTCCTGTGTGGAGCAGGTTTAGCTGAGGACACTACTCTTTTCTTTCCGATCACCATTTTGTTTCTTTAAGCCAGGAGTCATTGACCAGCTGAGTTAAAGGCAAATCGTAATTTCAGATTCACAGCCAGGCCAGCCCAAGCTTCAGGGGTTGAGAACAGGGGCTCTAGAATCAGACTGAAGGGTAGAATCATGGCTCTGCAGCTGAATTGTTATCCTGGGAAATGTGTTTAGCCTCTTCGAGCCTCCATTTCTTCTTCTATAAAATAGGACTAACAACAGAACTTAACTTCTAAGATTATAAACACAGAGTGCCTGGCATATAAGCTCTAAGTGCCTAATAAGTGTGTTAGGTCATCACGCACTTAAAACAGTAATTATGATCTTCCACGTTCCTCGGGACTGCTCTCCAGAAGTCAGTTTGCAAATCTTATTGACCGATTTGGAACCAAAAGAGAATGTACTAACCTACCCAACCTAGAAATCTGTTGACATAGACAAATGCTCCAGAAATGTTTTAGTTTCTACTTGACTTCAGGCTGGCTAGCACAGAGCTTATGCCCTGGGAATTGTGGGCTCCCACAAGATATCAAAACGATCCTGTCATCAATAAATCTCTGCTAGATAAGAAGTTGTATACTACTCACTGTAGCCCATTCCCTGCAAAAAGTACTTGAAGGCCTCGGTGAGCTTCCCAGGCTAGGAGGACAAAATAATAAGACATTAATCTTTGTATGAGCAATGAGGTATAGAGTCAAATAAGTGCTTTAAAAAATAAAAATCTCCTCACCTGAACTACTTGGGGCAGTCCGCCACAGTCTGCCATCTAGAAGAGGAAAAATAGGTAAGTCGGCTGGAACCTACACTTAAGGGAAATGCTCTGAATATCCATGAGTCCTTTCAAACAGGAGAGGATCAAATTTTAGGTTCCTTAACTTACATGTTTTACTGCATCCAAACATACATCTCCTTGCCCTGGCTGGTGCGGCTCAGTGGACTGAGCACTGGCCTGTGAACCAAAGCGTCACTGGTTCGATTCCCAGTCAGGGCACATGCCTGGGTTGCTGGCCAGGTCCCCAGATCGGGGCGTACTAGAAGGAACCACACACTGATGTTTCTCTCCCTTTCTCCCTCCCTTCCCCTCTCTCTAGAAATAAATAAAATATTTTTAAAAATTAAAGAATTTCTTTTTTTAAAAATAAAATTAAAGAATTTCTTACACACACACACACACACGCACAAATATATATATCTCCTCAATGCACTATTATACAAATAACCTTGAATATAAACCTGAAAATATTATTACTTATTAATCCTTAGTCAGTGAGATGCAGAGCCAGGCTTTCAGGCCCATGGTGGGAATTTTCTGTTAGAGGTGTCGTGAAGTTAACCACGACCATCAACCAAAGTTCTGCCTCCCCCTAGAGAATGTTACTTTCACGGTTCTTGGTGTGACCCTAACTTCTCAGGGTTCCATGCATTTAAGTTCCCTTTCAATTCTATGCTATTTTTATTTTATGACTAAGGAGATTTCTCAAGTCAGGTGCTGATGTGGAATTCAGCCAGCTGCTTGGTTAGCCACTTTCCTGTTGCAGCTGGATCTGGTGAGGCTGCCTCTCACTTCACAGACCTTTACAGCTGGTTCTGCTCACCTGTGCAAGGATTTCTTAGAGCAGTGTTCCACTGGCATGCATCGGCATGACCTTGTTAAAGGAGGACTTATTAAAAACTGGTTCTGGAATTCTTGCCCTAGAGATTCTGGGGTGGGGCCCAAGAACTTGCGTTTCCAACAAACTCCCAGATGATGCAGATACTGTGAGTCTGCAGAGAACTGTCTCTAGAGCACGATGGCCGGCCATGAACCCACCCTCTTCCTTCTAGCTGTTCTGCGCGTTCGGGTCTCAGACAGTATCCTATTCAGGCTGACTGGTATTTTGAAAAAAGAAAGGTGAAACTCACAGTTTCTGTTCACTAGCGCAAAAACTTGCCTTGAGGGGAGGATTATTATTTAGCAAATGGGACACTACAGAAGGCACAGAAATTTGAGGTTGGCAAGAAACAGGGCCCTGAAAATTCCAAGCATAAGAGCAGGAACAAACATTTCCCCTGATTTAAGTACAAAACAGACCAAACTGACACAGGTTATATTTTCATGGTGCTTAGGAGTGAAAATCTGATTAGAACCATAAACCAGTTGCCATGTGCAGAGAGAGAACACTGGGAGAGGCTGTTCCCGAGCTTGCGTCCGCCCAACAGCTGGAGAGCCAGAGTGCTCAAGCTGCCGCAGACGGGCACTTGTGCCAGAAATAACCATGTCCACGGTACTGTCAAGTTCCCTTTTCTATTTTTGGAACATGGATGGATTCAAACCTGCAGTGAAAATCTAATTTGAACCACATATTTTAAAAAATTCGTATTTTACACTACGTCAATCAGCCGGACCCCAGAATACTCTCACCTCAGAGTATTAACCTCATGCTACATTTCCAGGAACCATGGGCTGCTTCTGGTGACAGCGCTTCCCTTTCAAGTGCACTTCAATGAGAAGGGAAGGAAGCAGAGGTGTTTCAGGCTGAGAAAGCCGCAGTAAGCAACAGAAAATCAGCACTTAAATCTACAGTAATCCAAATTCAAACCAGAAGGTCAGGTCCCTACATTTTACTTGAGGTTCTAGAAAAAGCAAGAATTATGCTCTTGCCTGGAGTACAATCCACAGGGGGAGAAACTTGAAACTAACCCTAAAAATTCAGTACAAGAGTTGTCCTCTATTTGCCCTAAGAGAAAGAAAATGCATCCACTCTCATGGATGAAAGGTTATTAGAAGCATCCTTACTAATACAACAGATTTAACATGTAAAGAATTTCTATCCTTTATCTTAATTCTCACAAAATTAAGTAATGCTTATGGAGTTTAAAATGACATGGGAAGATGCTCATGTCAAAAAGTTGAGGAAGACAGATACAGGGCTATCATCATCCTATAATCTAATGATCTAAAAAAAGTATGGGAAAAAGACATCAATATTTTGCCAGAGGTTACCTCTGGATGTAGGACGATGGGTAATTTTTATTTATTTTATTCTTTCTACTTTTCTGTATTTTCCAATTTTCTGCAATGAGAATATATTCCAGAAAATTTTAAAAAGAGATAATGAAAGAACCAGAGAGAAGGAGGGAGAAAGAGAGAAAGATGCTTTCTTTCTTTCTGGGCCACTATTCCAGAAATAGAGTCATTTGAACCATGTATAATTTATTCACAAATGGAAATAAGGAAAGAAAACACATTACCTTTAGCAAAGTTGTATTTATAGGATTCAGGCGAGAATTGCATTCAACCTAAAAAAAAAAGAGAGAGAATTTTACACACAAACTTCTAGAAATATAAGAAATAGCCTGGTATGAGAATGATTTTCCAGGATCGACAGCTCAGTTTGGAGGTGGCCAAATCAGCCAAAAAAAACCCCTGCCAAAATACAAAACGGAGTTATGTTTATATGATGCACTTTATACCCGATATTTCTGAGATCTAAAATTGTGGCTAATCTCATTTTCTGAATCATTTACAAGTACAGTGTTTAAAGAACTATATGTTGAATCTAATTCCTCCTACCTCCTTACAGAGGCAAGTTACATACTTCTTTAGAAAGTGAATAAATTAAATGGTAAGGGGAAAAATACAATAAAGATTTAAAAAGAAAAGTGAACTGGGCCTGTGGTGTGGTCGTGGCCCTGAGCCCTGTGGACCAGCCCATTTCTTGCCCCTTTCCTGTGCCCGGGGGGTGGAAGGTCTGCCATTCCTTACCCCCTAACTCTTTCCTGCCTCAAGTCTTTTTGGCTGTCCCAACCAAAGTTGAGCCCTCTCTGTTTTTCTCTCACAACAGTCATCATAATGAAGAATTACAACCGTGTGTATTTACGTTTGGTATCTTGTATTCATGTATCCACAAAGGCAGGGGCCTCAAAAAAATGGTTTGGGAGAGATAATCTCTAGGTTCAGCAATGTTTTCTGGCCAATTTAATCAACTGAATCTCTTTCCTACACATTTGCCAAGCACACACATACAAAACACTGCACCCTAAGAGTCTGGAATCTGGTGGGGTGAAAACATACTACAAGATGGAATGACATCACTTCAAAATTTCACAACTGAGCTAAGTACAGAAGGACGAGCAGACTTTCTGGAGATACAGTTCAGAAGGGGTGGGAGTCTGCAGGCTTCTAGAGTCAAGGGGAAAGCATAAACAAAGACCCAAGGACTGTGGTGAAGTGCACCTGCAGAACACTTGTGGGGCTACAGAGGCAAGCGTGGTGCGAGAATGCAGGCAGGGTGCAGCTGGGGAGACCGAGCTGACCAGGGAAGTAAAGAAGCCACAGGAGGTTTCTGAGGCGACGGAGTTTGAGCTGTTTTAAGAGTACCCAGCAGTGGCCTGTATGACAGACTGCAGTGGCAATGAGACGGTTAGGGAGTTACTGAAATTGCCAAGGAAAGAACCAGTAATCCAGCTGACCTTTTGCTCTGGGGATTGTTTAAGGGCAGGTATACAAAACTCCTGTAAAATTAAAGTTTTTGCTCTACACAAACAACAGTGCAGGCAGTAATTAACAAACATACCAGTTTACTAAAGAATATACATTAACCCTAAAGGGCGGAATTTAAAAACTGCCAGGCACAGTGCTTAGAACACAGCAGATATGCAATAAATATTTTCTGAAAGAATAAACTCCCAAGTCTGGGTTTAATATAATAGATAATTCTTTGTTTGGTTCACCACTTTGTAATTTCTGTAACTTTGATAGACTGGAAGAATGTCTCCTCTCTCCCCCACTCCCCAAATGCAGAGACTCCACCTTGTTTTGTGCTCTCCACAGCATCAAGCAAAAAATGATGTTGTATGAATGTGAGCAAGAATTGCTAGCAACAGTGACCAGAATGTGTAGAATTTCTTCTTGCTCTTCCATGTATTGCTCTATTCCATACCAACTTGTGGGATTAAAATGCTCTGGCCAGGTCCCAGCTCATGTGGCTGAGTGGATTGAGCACCAGCCTGCGAACCAAAGGGCTGCTGGTTTGACCCCCAGGCAAGGCACATGCCTGGGTTGTGGGCCAGATCCCCAGTGGGTGGCACGGGAGAGGCAACCACATACTGATGTTTCTCTCCCTCTCTCTCTCTAAAAATAAATAAAAATTTAAAGAAAAAAGAATAGTATAGGAAAATGAGAAGCAAAGAACTTATACACATGACCGACCCATGGACATGAACTTGGGGATGGGGACTGCTGGAACAAAGGGGGATACTGGGTGGAGGGGGGACAAAGGGAAAGAAAATTGGAACAACTGTAACAGCATAATCAATAAAATATACTTAAAAAAAGAAATTTGTCTTTAGGTAACTGGATTATGACTTTTGCTCAAGTTCTTCTATTTTCCTTTTTATTCTCCTATTTTCTACAATGAGCATATATTATTTACCAATGTGCTATGTGCCTGAGGAGGAGGCAGAGAAAGCATACAGGCTCCAGCAGACTCCTGGCTGATGCAGTCTAGATTTATGGCAGCTGCAGAAGGCTGAGGCTGCTAGCAATCTGACAATAAGCAAAAGGTGTTTAGTTTTACTACAGGACTTGCACTACTTGCCACAAAGTGCACTGATCCCTTCTGATGAAACCTAGTGATCAATGAGGAATTCATTTCCTAAACTAGGTAACAAAGAGCAAGCCCTTATGTAATCGGAAATAATAAAAACTAGTATCTATAACTGTTTCTAGTGCATCAGCAGTGTGCTATATACATTTTATTGCATTTTAATCACATTCATCTGCACATCAGGCCATACTTACCACAGCCTCAACTGCGGGTGAATTGTCCCCTACCACCAATAAAGTAGAACACCTGTGAATGCCAAAGTAAGAGGAGACATTCAGCAAGTAGAACATAAGCTCCACTGAACCCTGAATTCGTCTACAAAAGGCAGAGACATCCAGTAACTTAGAGGGGAAATTGGGGACTTACTTTAAGGTCTTTGATTTGTTATCATTTTGGCCCAGCATGGGTCTTTCAATCTCCAGGTCTCTTCGTCTAGAGAAACAAAGGAAACAACGCCCTTTTCAGGTAAAATCATGACGACTTCAGTTATTTATTTCCTGTTCATGAATACCAAAATGTTTTAGAAAATGTGAAAACTACCCTTCCTTCACACCAGTGAGGGAAAGGGCCCTTGTGTGCTTTGTTCACAAGTAGCCACAGTGAGCAGTTCGGGGCAGGGACAGGGCTTCTGGCTCAGCCCAGAGGGACTCTGTGGGATGTCGTCAAAGGAGGCAACTTTATTTTTCCCGATTTTAATTTATTTATTGTATTTTTCCAGTACCCTTCAGTCCCCTTATACCCCCCCCCCCAATCACACACTGTTGCCCATGTCCATGAGTCCTTTCTCATTTTTGCTCAGTCCTTCCCCCACCACTGGCTGTCATCCTGCTCTCATCTACGACTCTGTACTTTGCTTGTTAGTTCAGTTTGTTCATTAGATTCCACATGAGTGAAATCACATGGTATTTGTCTTTCTCTGACTGGCTTATTTTATTTAGCATAATGCTCTCCAGGTCCATCCATTCAAAGGCAACTTTAAAACTCAGCAGAAATGCTACTGCAACCATCAAGTCCTAAGCACCGTATTGTTCAGACCATAAGACACACCTAGGTTTTAGAGGAAAACAGGGAAAAAAATTTTGTAACGAAAAATGTGGTAAAATATTTAATAACATAAATAACATAATATTTCACCAATGTAAATGTAAACAGAACTCAACATCAGCATTAACAACCACTGTTCTTCCCAAATGGGTGGGAGAGTGTGTCTTGTAGTCCAAAAAATACGTTATTTAACTTCCCAGCTAGTTTATAGGAATAAATCCCTTAAGAGAAGGGAAACTTTGGGAGCTAACATTTTCTTTGTAATTAACATAGTTATTAATAAACCTTTCTGATTTCAGTGGAAAAGAATGAGATTCTGTCCATGCGTTACTCTGCCTGATGGCACAGTATCAGCCACGAGAAGCTGAATCAAGGCCCCAGATTTCTATCGCTTGTCTCCCTACACACATCTTTCGGGGCCACCTCAAACTGGCTGTTTTTATGTGTGGGTTTAAACTTAGGTACTTTTTCATCTTTGAACACCTAAAGACTAGATGCTAACTGAAACTTGCCCCAATGGCCTTCAGTTCATGCACTCTTCACGAGAGGGGTCTTCTAATCTGTCTGAAAGCTCCTACTTTTCTACTGTTGGTAAAACGGCATGAAAGCGATCCCATCACACAACATTAGAAGTATCTTGTATCCCCTTCCCCTCTCCCATAAATGCCCAACATATTTTTAGAGTTGGTGTGCATTTAAGTGAATAGGAAACAAACGGTACCCATTATAAGAACCCAGGAAGAGCTGTAGGTTTTCTTGGTTGATATCTTGGGCAATATGCAGTCTGTAGGTCTGAATCAGGTCCAGGTTGGCCTGCAACTCTTCCTAAAACAATTTAAACAAGATACAGGTTAGCTTCTGAGCTAAATTACAAGCCTACTTACTGTATTTGGTTTGCATTCTCAATGTCCAGAATCAAAGCTCCTCGCCCATGATGGGGCTGGCTAAAATCTTTATTTGTATCACTGGTTCAGTGCCTCATTCTGTACTGGATGAGGGCACCAAAGGATCTATGATGGAAAAGGCTGGTAGTCAACTCAGTCTACTCTAGGTCAAGTGCAAAAACTTGGAAATATGCTGACTAATCTACCTGCAGCACAGTGGAAAACTGCACTAGACTTGGATTCAACTAGTAGCCGTGGCGCTCAGGCAGGCCACCTAACCATTCGGAGCCCCTGTTTCCTTATCTGTGGTTTTTTTCATGTTCTGCCATTCCTCATAAAGACAGAGACAGTATCCATAAAATAAAAATAATAACCAACTACAGTGCTGCTTTAAAGATTAAGTAGGAAAAGTTATATGAACTGTAAAGTATAAAATAAATGGAAGGTAACATTTCTCTTAATAGCCGTAAACCTGTTTAATTAACTTACCTACATATAACTGATATAATCAGTGTATTACCTACTTATATACTATCATTTAATAATATATATTAAAGAATTATACATTATTTCATTTGACATTTTATTAAGTCAATTTATCATTTAATCTTATAACCAATATTATAAAACATTCAAGAAGAACAAAATACAGTAAATAGTGAGTCTCCCTCCCTCCCTACCACCCACTGCTCTTGCTGGCCTTGGAGGCTGACTGAACCAGTTGTCAGGCTCTTGCATAAAGAAGCACATTTGTGCATATGTGTACATGCACACACACCAGAAAGCAGTTTTAAGCAGAGGGAACATGTATGCATTGGAGTAAAAAAGTGTATCAGGGAGAGCAATAGAGTCAGTTAATCCAGGACAGTGGGTAAAGGTCACCAACAATCCTTGTAGAGAAACGGAGACAAAGAGGACATTTGTTTGCACTCTCACTACCAAATCGGTGAAGGGAGCCAAGAATACAGCTGGAAACGGACCAAATGGATCAGAGTCTACTTGAAGCTGAAGGGCACTGGAATCACTCCAAGGAAACACAGTAAATGCTAAAGTACTACAGTAAGAAAAGTAAACAACAAATGAAGCACACAGTAATTAGAGATGCAATTATTCAGCCAGCTCCCCCTTGAAGGTCTGGAGAGGAACTTGAGTAACCAAGTTTGAGATTTAAAGCAAGGGAAGAAATGATATTGGTCTAAAAGGAGTAAAAGTGGCTTACGTGCTAACAGAACTTCTTAGGCAAAGCTGTTAGGTATGAATTGCCCTTTTTTTTAATTTAAAAAACACCTTTTTAAAAAAAACACAAATTGTTAGATCAACTGTGCTATGCGCTGCTTTTCCACTTAAAGTGCGGCAGGGACCATTCCTTGTTACAGGGCCTTTGTAACCAGCTCATTTAGTCCCACTACCTGTTTCCCCACACCCTTGGCTAGAACAAATGACCACTCTTTTTAGTTTTTGCTAATTTGATAGAAAAAAAGGGGGATATCACTGTTTTTTCTTGTATTAGTGAAGTTAAGATTATTTATGTTTTGAAACCTTATGTTTCCATTTCAAAATAAAAGCAACACAAGCATTTGCTTGCTTAAATTTTAAATGAACTCTTTAGCCTTGTGACAGCCCATTATCTATGACTTCATGTTTTAAATTAAATACACATTGTGTGTATGTGTGTGTGTATATAGTGAGGATGTTCCTGCTTTATATAAATTATTAAAATTCTGGTCTTAGCTTCCCCCCATTTGAAATAGTGTTTTCTAACATATTTGAATGCAAATACCTTCAAGCTTCATTCTTCCACATTAGAAGACTTTAGAAGTAACTGCTTTGGCTAATCAGCCTCTTACAGGTATCCTGCAAGTCTCCCCCCAGGTTACTTAACACCCCCTGAATATGTCTTATAATTTCTTTCTCGTTGCTTTTGAGCAAACTATGCCCCCTTCCTAGAATGGTCTTCCTCCCCAAATCTAAAGTGTTGAATTTTTCTACCTTCAAGGCCCAGCTGGGATACTTCCTCCACCTGGAAGATTTCCCTGATCCCCCAATCAGAAGTCAACGTCTCCTGCCTTTGAATTCCTCTAAGGCCCCTCACAGCGCCTCTCCTATGGCTCCCTGGGATGGTAGGAAGAGAACAACTTCAGACTCAGGCACATCTGGCTCCAAGTCTCTTCCTAATATGTTATTAGGTGCTGACCTTGTGGAAACCAATTCATTCTTCACCTGTAAAGTGGGAATAATACAATACCCATTATGATATTATTAGACTGAATCGATTAAAGTATATTAAAATGTCTATCTGAAATTTGAAGGTGTTCAATGAAAAGGTTCTTACTACTTACCCTTTTTACCTGTGCTGTAACAGTGTTCATGTACCATGTTTTGTCATGTATAATGTGCTTCTGTGTATAATGTGCACCCGTGTTTCCCACTAAACTTTCAGGAAAAGGGTCTTTTGTTTTAATTTTTAATTCAACTTTCATTTATTTATATTTAGATTTTTTTGTATTATAAAGGAATATTAGCATTTATTTTTAAACATGGTACAAGAAATTTTATGTAACAAATATAACTACAAAACATAAGAACAGATATACAAAGTATTTTAGGTACTACCCATGTATGATGTGCATCCTTATTTTTTTCCCTCAAAAATTTGGGCAAAAAAGTACACACTGTTCACAGCAAAATACAGCGTATCCCTTCTCCCCACGTGGTGAGCTCTTGGAGAACAAGGAGCATATCTTATACGTCTTTGTCTATCCCAGAGCACTGAGAATAGACTTTTGTACATTTTCTGAACTGGGTTTTCAGAGCTACAGTCAAAACCAAACATGCTATGTCTTCAGGACAGTACTACACTACCCAGCATTATGAGGTGGAAAGATCATGGTCTTTGAGAATTCCAATTAAAGATGATGGATTAAAACACAACTTTACTCCTTCAAGAAAAATAACTGGCCCTGGCCGGTGGCTCCGTTGGTTAGAGAGTTGTCCAGATACTCAAGGTCGCAGGTTTGATCCCCAGTCAGGGGATCAAAGCAACCCTTGAATGCATAAACAGACAAGAAGCAACCAATGAATGCATAAAAAGTGAAACAGCAAATCAATATTTCTTTCCCTCCCTTTCTCTAAAATCAATAAATAAAGATTTTTTAAAAATCATAAGCTCAAAAGGACAAAGATGATAGGAAAAGTGAACACAGCAATAACATTTTGAAAGTGGGAAAGCAGAAGGAAGACTAATCACTCATTTAGCAGACTCGATGAAGGCTGTGAGGTGGCAGAGGTGAGAGTGAAAGAAGCCAGCGGACATGTACCCACAAGCCGGAAAAGGCTCAAGAACTATTGGCATCAGTTGTCTCTGAAGGCAGAGGGTAAAGATGGGGCTAACAAGGGAAGATCAGCTGAATAAAGATAACATCAGAAAGACATAACAATAATGCCCTGGCTGGTGTGGCTCAGTGGACTGAGTGCCAGCCTGCAAACCAAAGGGTTGCTGGTTCAATTCCCAGGCGGGGCACATGCCTGGGTTGCAGGCCAGGTCCCCAGGGGGGGCCATGTGAGAGGCAACTATACATTGATGTTTCTCTCCCTCTTTCTCCTCCCCTTCTCTAGTGGATAAAATCTTTAAAAAAAATGAGAAAAATACGTGAAACCAAAAGTTGCTCAGACTGATGGAGAAAAACAGAGATAAAACTCAAGTTACCAAAAACAGGAATAAAAGAGACATTACTATCAGCTTTACAGAAATAAAAATAATAATAATTATTATTTTAACTGGAAGCAAAAATCTAAACCTTTTATTTTACTACTATTTGACAATGAGAAATTCACATAACCACTAAATATCAGTTTTTCACCCTTAAAATAAGAAAATCACTATCTCACATGGTTGTTAAGAAGATTAGATGAAAATGTACAAAAGTTTAAATAAACTTCATAAGCAGTTGATGCTGACCTTCACCAGGTTTATATATAAACACATTTATAGATCTGACAAATTAATGTATTCTACCTAACTCGGAAATATCCATCTCTCTGAACTATACCATGCTTTATTTTTACAGAAATTAGATGAAAATTTCAGGAATATTAAGAGAATGAGACCAGTCATACTGAGTCATGTGCTTTTTAATCCAAATCAGATACAATGCTAAAATAAACTTTTCATCCCTCAGCCTGAAGTCTTGAAACTTCAGTGACTTCCATGGTCCCGAGACTCCAAGTGTGGGTTGCTGATATGGTAACCAAAGCAAGAGAAGTGGTGGACAAAGGAAAGTGACCTGACTCCTACAGCTGCTCTCGATTATGGATCATTTGTTAAACTCTCAGCAGAGAGAGTGGGTGTTTAATCTTTTCATTTCCCTCCCTGAAACCTGTTTTGACATGTATTACTTTACTTTATTTGGGACAAAAAGAGGTAAGTTACTCCCTAAGCTATACCGAGGGACATACTTCTCAAAAGAGTAAGCAAACAGAATTATTAAGGAAATATTATGAATAATTACATGTCAACAAATTAGCTAACCGAGTTGAAATGAAAAATTCCTAGAAAGACACAAACCACCTAAAGTGTCTCAAGAAGAAATTTAAAAATCTGACTAGATCTAGAACAAGAGATTATATTATTAACATAGCCCTGACTGGTATGGCTCAGTTGGTTGGGTGTCATCCTACAAAGCAAAAGGTCTTGGGTTTGATTCCTGGTCACAGCACATGCCTGGGCTGCAGGTTTGGTCCCCAGCTGGGCTGCATATGAGAGGCAACCAACCAACCAATCAACACTTCTCTTTCACATAGATGTTTCTCTCCCTCTCCTTCTCTTACCACCCCCCCAATAAACAAATATCTTTAAAAAAATTAGTAACATAAAACTTCCCATAAAGAAAAGCTCTGGGCCAGATGCCTCGATGTGAATTCTACCAAACATGTCAAGAATCAACAGTAATCCTTCTCAGCTCATTCTATGTGGCCAAGTACCACCTCGATACCAAAACCAGGCAAAGACATCATAAGAAAGCTACAGACCAATATTCCTTTTGAATACAGACACAAAAATCCTTACAAAATACTAGCACACCAAATACAACAACATATAAAAAAGATATTACACATGATGAGCAAGTGGAATTTATCCCAAGAATACAAGGTTAGTTCAACATAAAAAAAAAGCCCAATATAATATACCATATTAAAAGAATAGCCCTGGCTACACTGGTGTAGCTCAGTGGATTGAGCGTGGGCCTGTGAACCAGACAATCGAGGTTCGATTCCCAGTCAGGGCACATGCCTGGGTTGCAGACCAGTTCCCTGCAGGCCAGTTCCCAGCAGGGGACGCATGAAAGGCAACCATACATTGATGTTTCTCTCCTTCTCTCCTTCCCTTCCCCTCTAAAGATAAATAAATAAAATATTAAAAAAAAGAAGAATAAAGGACAAAAGTCACACATACATTTTTTTAAAGGTTTTATTTATTTATTTTAGAGAGAGGGTAAGGGAGGGAGAAAGAGAGGGAGAGAAACATCAATGTGTGGTTGCTTCCTACACGCCCCCCACTGGGGACCCAGCCAGCAACCCAGGCATGTGCCTCAACCAGGAATCGAACCAGTTGACCCTTTGATTTGCAGGCCGGCACTCAATCTTCAATCCACTGAGCTGCACCAGCCAGGGCAACACATACATCTTAATAGATACAAAAGAGTATTTGATAGAACCCAACACACTTTCACGATAAAAGGACTCACCAAGCCAGGAATAGAAGAGAACTTCCTCTACCTGATAAAGGGTATTTATGATAAATACACAGCTAACATCACACTTAATAATGAAAGACTGAATGCTTCCCCCTAAGATCAGAATCAAGACAAGCATGTCTACTCTCAGCACTTCTACTCAACACTGTACCAGAGGTTCTAGTCAGGGCCTAGAAAATTCTGTTTAGTCAGGAAAAGAAATAAAAGGTATCCAGACTGGAAAGGAAGAGGCAGAACTGTCTATTTGCAGATAACATGACCCTGCATATAGAGAAATCCTAAGGAATCCACAAAAAAACTTAAACTAATAAAAATCCAGCAAGGTTGAAGGATATAAAATCAATATGCAAAAATTAATTTTATTAGGTTAATTTCCTAGAAATGATGAAATAGGCTCAGGTAGCAGTGGATATACCACACCCAAAACAGGAGGGTTTAATGAAATTTTAAAGCCCAGATGTTGAGGCCCTCAGTCTTTTTCTGCATTTGGGTCCAAAAATACTAATGGAAGTGTCTGGGGTGTAATCTCAAAGTTAATCTGGGGAATCTGACTAATCCCAGAGGAAAAATCTAAAGGTGCTGACATCAGGGCTTCCTCAAGGAAACAGCCCAGTCTGACACACAGTGATAAGCCTCACCCAATGCTCACAGGCCTTTCAGCAATGCGCCCTCACGAAGTATGGAAGGCAGCCAGGGATCAGTAGCCATTTGGGGAAAGCACCTGTGCCAGGTACCAACCTCTGGTTTCTCAGCCTCAGATCTCCCATTCTTTGTAATACAGAAGGCAGCCTGCATAAAGATTCTCCCGCTGCCAGTCCTTTTTCAAAATTTAGCATAGGAGCCAGTAGCTCAAGGTGTCAGGAGCCCTCATGAGACGAGCCGCGTGCAGTTACACCCTCAGCCCACGCTGTCCCCATCCAACGGCAGCTTCTGCAGCAGTGCAGGTCTTACTTTAGACAAATGTCTCCCCCATCTGGTAAGTGGCTCCAAGGCTCAGTGAGGGCCCTCACACTCCTGCGAATTTCACTAGTGGTTGGCTGTTCGAAGAAGCCTGACTCTCCAGCTTGGTGGGAGAGGCTCAGCTAAGTCAGTTCCTTCAGTGTCCACATTCCCTCAGCCTAGAAGCAGCAGCTATTTTTAGACCCCTTGAAGTCCTCCTTCACTCTCTGAGAAATTAACCATCATCACTAGTTAATAATAGTTTACTTTAAATGTCCTCCAGTGTGTGCTTTCGCCGCCCACAGGATGGAAAGTGTGACCTGAGGACTGCTGAGTCTCACTAGGCCTTCTGTTTGCCAACCCTGACTCCCATGCTAAATTAATGAAAAGGGCCAGACCCTGGAGAAGAAGGGTTCCTTGCACTGTCACCTTTCAGTGTCTGTCCCATGTTCTTTATTCATAAACTCTAACACTGTCAGCTGGCAAAGGAGAAATGCTGGACAAAAAAAGAAAGCAGTCACGGCTCAGCTCCTAATAACATTTACATAGCATGACAGTGTAAATGCTGGAAGTTGAGCTAATCCAAGTTATGCTACTTTGGGAGGAAGGAGTGATAGAAAAATCATCTTCCAAAATGGAATGCCTACAGATAATGCCTACAGCTAAAAACTCAACAAGTGGAAGTATGAATATTTACAGAGGTAGGAAAGGGAATAGAGTGTATATATTCAAAAAGACATGTATGAGAATGTTCATAGCAGCTTTATGCATGAGTAAAACAACCACCACCAAAACTATACATAACCCAAATGTTCATAGGAGTGCTACACAGTAATAAAAAGAATCAACTAATAATACAAAGAATGCCATGAATGAATCTCAAAGACAAAGGTTGGTACAACTTGGTGGATTGAGCTCGGGCTGAGAACCAAAGGATCGCTCAGAGCATTGCAGCAGAGCAGGTCTTACTTTAGACAGAGCATTAGACAGAGCTTTAGACAGTGCAATTCCCAGTCAGAGCATTGCTTGGGTTGCAGGCCAGGTCCCCAGTGGAGGCCATGTGAGAGGCAACCACACACTGATGTTTCTGTCCCTTTCTCCCTACCTTCCCTTCTCTCTAAAAATAAATAAATAAAACCTTAAAAACAAATCCAAAAGGATAAGGCTCAGAGAGCTGCATGATCATGAATATGAAGAGGATCTGAGAGAGCGGTATGTTCCTAAGAAGCATGGAAGCTCTATGCCCCTTTCTACATATTGTGCCCTATGCATCTCTTCCCATCTTACTATCCCTGAGTTATATCCTTTAAAAACAAACCAGTAACCTAGAAAGCAAAATATTTCTCTGAGTTCTGTGAGCTGTTCTGGCAAAACCAAGGAGAGGGTGGTTGGAACCTGTGATCTAGATAGAGCTGGTGTGTCAGAGGCACAGGTGATGATCTGGACTTGTGACTGGTGTGGGTGAGGGGCTGTGGGGCAGCCCTGGGGGACTGAGCCCTTCACCTCCGGGCAGGCAGTGTCATAACTGAGCTGAACTGTAGGAAACTCAGCTGGTATCTAAGAACTGTTTGGTGGTGTGGAAAAAATACGCACTGTAATTGCTGTCAGAACAGTATTATTCAATTCACTCCTATCTCTGAAAAAAACAAAACAAAACTGGGATTCCCTCTCTTACAACAGTTATCCATATAACTGTTCTTGCTCTGGAGACTTCAGTTTCCTCACCAGTAAAACATGGGGATTGAACGAGACAACCTATAAGGTTCTTTCAACATTAACATTTCTTGGTTTCTTTTTTCTCTGAAATTTCTATTTCTGTGAAGCCTTTCCCAGATCACATGATGGCCCTAAAGATGTTTGGCAAGGCATGTGATGTTGTCAAACATTAACAGATGGCATGCCGCTTATAGGAACAAGTGGGGGGGATGTTGCGGGGTGAGGGGGGGTGTTGGCTGCCCTCTCTTCATCTCTCTCCAAATGCCAACAGCCATGTGGCATTAAGTTACCTTTTCTCTAAGACTAGACTTTCCCAGGCCACATGCATCTCCACTGCACTGGGGTGTTACCCACTAGGATCAGGTAAATTCTAAGGCAGCCCTTCTTTGCATATAAGCCAATACACACAACCCTCCAGCCTGCAATAGGCACTTACCTGCCCAAAGTGATGAGCCAAAATAATGTCCACAACATTGGTCGTCAAGCCTGAGATCTAAAGAGAAAAATTTTGTGTCAAGGGAGTAAGTAGTAGATGTACATACACGTTTATCAAGCTGTCCACTTCAGATCAGTGCCCATTAATTATATGTATTATCCTTTAACAAAGGCACAACTCAGTATCATATATTTTCATAAGTCAGTGGTTTCAAGAGACATGAGAACAAGAAACAAGTCAGAAAAAATGAAGAATCTCCCTTCCAGGGAAATAATATAGACTGATTAGAAGTTAGTAGCTGGAAGAAATGGGGTCATAATTTCTTTGAAAACTTCAAACTAAGAAGCCACAGCTCTTAGTGACTTCATTCTTGTCTGTATTTCTGTATTTACACTGGATTTATGAATAATAATAATCAATTTACAACCACTCCCAAGCCATCTAAGAGACAGAAACAAATTTTCTGTCTCAGTTTTCTGTCTCTATTTTCTTTTTCCCAGTTTTTGCTATTTTTGTTTCAGGGAATGAGAGGCAACTGGTATGTTTGCTGAATGTTTCTGCATCTTGAACATTTTTCTCATTTCAAAATGATACTATAGTCTAAATAAATGCAGCAATCTGTATAAATCTGCAGACTTTATTTTCAGAGAAATTCCTAACTCAAATTATGTTGTTGATTCCCCTTAAGCCTTCTTTGGTGTATTAAAATAAATACTTACAGCAATTTAAAAGCACTTGGAGGTAGGTATAAAAAATGGTATTGGCTTAAAAATGAGATTATTACATTAGGCATCTTTTAGGAAGTGATAAAAGCTTAGGTTATTTTTCTCTGGGACACTTTATAACATCACTGACTTAATCTAAACCCTATAATTTTTTATTAAAGTAACATATTAATAACATCTGTACTTCAGCAGGAAAAAATGTTTTAAAATGACTTTCCTTTCCAACCTAAAAACAATGAATTTCTTTTGGGGGGGGGGCACAGGTGAATTGAATGTAAATGCAGCTATAATGCTTTCCCCCTTACTCTTTTTTTTCCTCTCTGGTTGTTACTGGGATTGCTTATATTTATAAGGTCATTAGCATATCCTGTAGTTCCCTATTTCCAAAAGATGTTAGGTAGAATTCTATCTAGATAGCAAATACCTTCATCTTTCAGGTAGCAAACAGTGCAACCCACACACATCTTTGGGAACAGTAGCACAGATAAGTTATTTGGGTTCAATGGAGAGAGTAATTCATTCATTCATTTCACTCATTAAAGGAGTGAAAATGCATTGGGAGAAGATATTTACATGTACCCAGCTAAGGATTCATAGGTAGCCCTGACCAGAGTGGTTCAGTTAGTCGGGCATCTTTCTGGTAGGTGAAGTATCACCAGTGTGATTCCCAGGCAGAGCACTGCTGGGGTTTCGGGTTTGGTCCCCAGTTGGGGTGCATGTGGAAGGCAGCCCATTAGTGCTTCTCTTTCTCCCTCCTTTCCCCTCTGTCTAAAAAATAAATAAACAAAACCTTAAAAAAAGAAGGCTTCATATGTAGAATGCATAAAGAATCTTCACAGGTCAATAAGAAAAAGACCAGCAACCCAATTTAATTAAAAAAAAAAAAAAAAAAAAGGCAGAAGACTTGAGTAGTTACTTCATAAAATGATCTTCAAATGGCCAGTAAGTTTTCACTTTTATTTTTACAGAGAGGGGAAGGGTCTAAGGAGAAAGAGGGGCAGGGTCCAGGGAAGAAGAGAGGGAAAGAAGCCTCTTGTTCACACCCTGACGGGACCAAACCTGCAGCCCAGGCGTGTCCTCTGACTGGGAATTGAACTGGGGCCCAGCAGGTCGGTGCCCACCAACTAAGCCATACAGGTCAGGCCAAATGGCCAAGAAGTTTTAGAACAGGTGCTTGACATCACAGGCCCTTAGGGAAATACAAATTAAAACCCAGCTTTATTTATCCATAAACATAGCTTAAAGTAAAAAAGATGCTACAATGAAAAATTGTTTTTTAGTAACGAAAGCTATTTTGGTGATGGACACCATGTAAAAAAACTTAATATTACAAATAAAACTAATCATCTTTTATAAAAATTAAAAGAACTACCAATGGTCAGTATGTGGAATAGCTGGAACATTCATGCATTGCTGATGTGTAAGCTGGGCAAACACTTTGGAACACTGGCAGTTACCTACTAAAGACAAACGGACAACGGTCCCACGACCCAGCAATTCCACTCCTAGGTGTAGATCCAGATGAAATGAATGTGCACGTCCGTGGAAGACATGCAGAAGAATGTGCGCAGCAGCTTTATTCATAACCACACCGCTCATTTTGTGACTTCATACAACAGACTTCTAAACAATACTAAAAACTACATACAATGAAAATGAGACAGACAGTGATAAATTTTTCTCATTGAAAGATTTTATTTATTTTATTTTCAGAGGGGGAGAGAGGGAGCAAGAGAAGGAGAGAAACATCAATGTGTGGTTGCCTCTTACATACCCCCTACTGGGGACCTGGCTTGCAACCCAGGCATGTATGTGCCTTGACTGGGAATCAAACCAGCAACTGTTTGGTTTGCAGACTGGCACTAAATCCACTGAGCCACACCATCCAGGGCCAATAATTAAAAAAACTATAAACAAAATAATACATATTCTATTATTCCAATTATACGAGAATATAATTGATAAAACCATCTGTGGTGACTGAAGTCAGGGTAATGGTTATTTTTAGAAGGAAGAGGAAGTATTAATTAAGTATAGAGCTGGAGCCCTGACTGGTGTGGCTCAGCGGGTTGTTCATCTCACAACAGAAGGGTCGCCAGTTCAATTTCTGGGCAGGGCACATGCCTGGGCTGCATTCTAGGTCCCCAGTGGGGGGGGCATGCAAGGGGCAGGCAACTGATGTTTCTCTCACACATCGATGTTTCTTTCCTTCTCCCTCCCTTCCCCCTTCTCTAAAAATAAATAAACGAAGTTTTAAAAAAATTAAAAAAGAACAGAGCTAGAAATATTCCATAGATTGACTGGGTGTGATTACAAATGTAAACATTCATTAAGCCATACACTTAAAACTTCTCGCTTTTAACTATATAGCACTCAAGGAAAAAATAAAACAGGTAAGCCACTGTGAGAAGGGACCGACACATGAGCCGACAGATGGCATTCGGTGCTTACTTTGGAAGCCGCCCAGTCAATCCAGCCTTTAGCGCAGGGGTCTACATTGATGAGGACGAGGCCTTCCACAAGTTCCGGATGACTGAGCTGAGACAGAAGACAAAAACAAGAAAGTATGAGAGTTCCACTCTCAGCATTCTTCTACAAATACAAGAGCACAGTTAATTACTTCTTATTATGTCTTAATGCCTCAGATTTGAAAGTGAGTCTTTGAAGAGATGCTAGGGAGGCTATTCAAAAAAAAAAAAGTAGCTCTTTCAATCTGATTTAGCACCTGGAAAAACAGTTTCTTCACGTGCTGTCAAATCTATGGGGGAGACCAAGATTTCCACAGCAAATGAAGACACCCAGTATGTCTGCAGTTGATTAGCTCACAGTGGGTCTTCCCCACTGAGAGAAGGGCCTTGAGCTAGTGGGTGTAAGGAGCTGCTGAGGCTTAAACTGGCTATTTCACACTCAATAGGGGCTTCTTAAGTTTTTTTTTTAAATCACATGAATAGGTGCTATACCACCCCGCAAAAAATGTTCTTTCACCCAGGAGTCATTTGAAAAAAAGTTTTTAAAATAAAAATCAATAGGAACATTTCTATGTAAACTGAAAACTCTCTAGCTTACTACTTTTCCTCCTCTGATTACACTGATTCTGCACACGATAGAAAATTTGATAACCAGAGAAATCATAAAAAGCAGAAAATGAAATTCCCTATTATCTTACTGCAAAACATCAATCCCTGTAAATATTTTGGTATATTTCTAGTCTTTTCCTATGCCAAACTTTATGTGAGTCTGTATTCTAACTTTGTTAATGTTGTATTATAGTGAATCACATCATTACAAGCTCTTCTTACAAAATTTTAGTGGCTGTATAAAATTCCATCATAACTATTCTCTAAGAATTACTTTTTATTGACTATGTACTGCCTTCATTTGTGATTTTTCAGGTGCTGTAGGTATATAGCAAGGCTTCATAGAACCCTGTATCTGGAGCTGACAAAATTAATAAAAAACTGACATGAGACCCGCAACAGTACCTGGTCACCCAACATAGCAGTAGGAGCTGAGGTCTAGGCAGTGTCTCAGGGGTATGGAAACAAATCCTCCCTGTACTTACCGCGAATTTGCTGAGGATGTACGCTCCAGCTCCGACTCCAATCCCAATGATGCTTTTCACACTGTGAATGAAACACGCAAACACAGACAGTGTTAACTCACGGGGAGGTAGCATGGCAAAAATGGACGGAATACAACTGAGTGCAAATTCTGGCTCTGATGCTTATCAAATAGAGAATTTGCTTAAATTTCTTTAACTTCCTGAGGCTCACTCAGTTCCCTCTCTCTAAAACAAAGATATGACCACCTACTTCTAAGTTGATTTTAAGGGTTGAAGGAAATGACTAAAACCTGAGGGTCATGCTTGACAGCTCATTCTCCGATCACCTCCACGTCTAACCCATCAAATCCTATAGAGTCCACCTTCAAAGTATTTCCATCTGTCTTCATTAACTTCACCCCCCACCATCCAGTATCAAGCTATCATCATTACCCCTTGCTTTACGTGTCTCCCTGCCTTTTCCTTCACTCCTCTCCAACCCACTTTCTCCACAGCTAGAGTAATCCTCTTTAAAAAAAACATAAACAGCTTCCCTGATGCCCAATTTACATATCTAGTGTGGTTATTTTAAAAGACCAAATTGGATTATCACTCTCCTGCTTAAAAGCCTTCAGCATTTTTTTTAAATGAAATCCCAAATTTTTACTTGATATGTGAGACCTGTGTAATCTGGTCTTTGTCTCTTTCTTGAATTTTACATGTATTTCTCCTATCTGCTCATTTGCTCTAGGACTTTTGGACATACTAATTCTTTTGTCTGGACTTCTCTTGCCCTGGCTCTCTGGGTATGTAGCTCCTTTCTTTCCTCTAAGTCTGAGACTTGATGATATCTTTTTAGAGAGGAAACCCCAAAACAGCTTTGATACAGGGATATCAGATCAAATCACTGGGGAGGAGTAGGAGGAGGTTGCCTGGGGCAATGGTAAACAGTCTAGGATTGGCTGTAAAGCTGAATGCCTCCAGAGCACATGGAATTATGGGACAGAAGATTTAAAATAAAAGAAGGGCTCCCAGCCCCGGCTGGTGTAGCTCAGTGGATTGAGCATCATCCTGGACTAGGTTGCAGGCCAGATTCCCAATTGGGAGCATGCAAGAGGCAACCAGTCGATGATTCTTTTCTTCTTCCTCCCACCCCTCTCTCTAAAAGTAAATAAATAAATAAAATACTTTTTAAAAAAGGCCTGTCTGCCTTTCTTCTTCCTCAGGGATGCCTGATGATCGTGCTGCAGCTGCACGCATTTTCCAACAGATGGCAAGGAACTTGGGCAAAGCCTAGGATCGGGATGGCCTGGCAGAGGGTGGCAGGGTTATTCTTCTTTGGGTGTTCTAGAGGGGACAACCTCTGAGGCAGAAGCCTGCCATTTTTCCAAAATTGTGTAGCTTTTGTATATTACATTGTTTTAGTCTGTAAACTAACCCATAGAAATAAGATACTTAACAGGAGGAATACTAGGAAAACTCAGGTGTTAGCCTTAACTGATGGGCTTATGTGTTTAAAGCTGTAAGTGACTAATATATGCAGATAGCTATTATTTCAAAATTGTGCAGTTTTTGAATATAGACTCCTTTCCTTTATCACCAAACCTCTGCTTCCTGAACTTTGCCCGGAGGGTGGTGGGCAGCAGGACCCCACTCACTGCTTGATAACAGCCTTATCTATGTAGGTCCTGCCCTTATTTTTTATCACACCATCCCCACCGACTTTTAATAGCACTTCAGTTGTGATTACTTGTTTGCTTACTTGTTAATTGTTTCCCCCACTACGATGTAAGACCCTGGAGGGTGGCAGTGCCTATCCTGTCAGATACATAGTAGAAAGTCCGTAAAAACTGTGTGAGAGAACTGAACAAGGAACCTACCTTAAGTGGGTAAGAACCGGAGGCAGCATTTCAGCTAGCTCATCCATTGTGGGGTACTGGTACCTGAAATCCAAAAGGATACCGCCTGAATTAGAATGCAACCATATTTTACAATTACAAGAACAGCTAGAAAATGGAGTTCTTAGATAAAAGCATTCCCTTTATCAAAGGAGGTGATGTGGAGTCTGGGAATGACTTTGGCATGTGTGACGACACTTCCTACAACTGCTGTGCCAAACAGAAGGTAAAAGAACCTACATGTTTCTACATGTTTTTTGTCCTCAAAAGCAGTCTCTTGGCCCTGGCTGGTGTGGCTCAGTGGGCTGAGCGCCAGCCTGCGAACCAAAGGTCATTGGTTCAATTTCCAGTCAGGGCACACGCCTGGGTTGTGGGCCAGGTCCCCAGCTGAGAGCCTGCAAGAGGCAACCGATTGCTGATTCTCTCACACATTTTGTTTCTCTCCCTCCTTTCCCCTCCCTCTGAAAATAATCCCGGACCAGAGGAAGCCATTTGAAAAGAATAGGTAATATGGCTCTTTCTCAGGGTAGTTCATTCCACCCACAGGGATATGGCTCATTCCAAATCCCTAGCAATCACTTCAACTGGGGTTCAGTCTCAGTAAACTTCCAACAGTGAGAATCGACTAAAAGTATCTCTTGGTCTGCTGCTTATATCTAGGCAGCTAAAAGTAAAAGTAAATAAAGCTGTACTGGGCTTAAGCATAGTCACAAATCCTGGGCTCTTTACTATGAATGTTACTTATTTTACCTAGGCATAAGACAATATGGTTACCTGTTTACTGCATTTGAATTTGGTTTAGGACATGAACCACTGGAGTAATAAAACAGTCAAGCACACCCAGGAATGGATTCAAACTAGGCATCCAAGAAAAGTAGGGAGCACCTAAAGATTACAGATTCAAAGATCCTCTGCTTGAAACACTTGAGCAACGGAGTGCTTTTTAGCCATCTGTGCACAAAATAGAAAAAAGGAACAGGCCCTGGCTGGGTACCTCGGCTGGTTAGAGTGTTGTCCCAATACACCAAGGTTGCAGGTTTGATCCCCATCAAGGCACATATAAGAATCAACCAATGAATGCGTAAATAAGTGGAAAAAACAAACCAGTATTTCTCTCTCCCTGTCCCCTTTTCTCTCCTTCTAAAATCAATAAATAATAAAAATTTTTAAAAAGAACAGGATCCAAATCTTACTGGATATAATCAGCTGGTCACTGGCCAGTTTGTGTCTGAGAGACAGAGCTCGAACATGACTCGGTCAGTAACACGGACCGGGGGCCATTCTGCCTGTGTTCAACCCCCACTCCGCTGCTTGTTATGTCATCTTGGCCAAGCATTTTCTTGCTACCTCTGGGCCTCAGTTCTTCACTTGTTAAATGGAGTAAGAGTAAACCTGTCTCATAGGGTTGTGAGAGTTAAATGACCTAATAAATGTAAAATATTTAAAGCCATGTCAGGAATGTTGTGTAAGTGTTAGCAATTATTTGTCTGCAACGGTCTATTTCACAGCAGCCACTGGCAAAGGCAGCTCCGGAGATGAGGAGAGAGGCACAGGGGAAGAATTAGCATTCCACAGCTGGTGCTTTCACTGCTCCTCCCAAGGTCTTCTCAACAATCCTGTCTTGCAGGGAAGAAGAGTTCGGGAGACTCTGGCTCCGCCTCACAAAGCAGATTTAGGATAAGGCTGAGTTCCAAGTCTAGTAAAAACGCACCTCAACCTGATAGGGCAGATGCTCAGATAAATGGTTCCACAGATATTTGAATTCCTGTCACGAGAGGTAAAGGTGGGGAGATACTCCTAGGAAGCTCAGAGGAATCTGAGTTTGGGCCGAGGTAACACAAAATGACAGATTTAAAACAGGTGAGGAAGGAAACAGATAAAGACCGTGAGAAGTGGGTGTTCCAGACACTTCTGCCTAGCAATCAGAGGGAGACAGGTTCCCGTCCACAGACAGCCCTTCCTGGGTGTGGGAAAACATGCAGTTTTCCTCAACAGACTGTATAAGACAGTCCTCTCAGAGCAAGGCAAGGAAATAACGAGGACGGCTGGTCGGTAAGTATCATTTGTAGGCTGTGCTACAATCAGCTGGGAAAGGAAATGCTTCTCCCGCTGGAACTCAGGCATTTGCTCGTGAGTGCAAAGATCTTGCTTGCCACCTTACCCTGTTGGGAACGAGGGTGCCCCTTCCTGTTGGCCTGGGGCATCCACATGACAGACAGCGAAGTGCTGAGTGATCTCTTGCATATCCTCAAAGTTAAAGAACGCATTGAAACAGGATTTATCTGCAACAGCAAAGACAATTATAAGTCACAGGCCTTCCATTTCTCCCCAATTTTCCTCTACTGATCAATTCTGTATTATCGTCCTTTCATTCCCTTTTAATCACTGTCCCACTAACATGAGGTGTCTGAACAATCTGTCTGATTCAAGCTGCCCTAAAGGCTGAATACCAGACATCTCATGACTTGAAAATAACTAATTCTCAATTTTACACAGTCTACAAAGTGGAAACCAATTCTGGTGTTGCACAAGATAATCTTATACTCATAATGCTGTCATTTTTCATGTATCTTATTCTTCAATCTGACATGGAGACACAGATTACATCCCAAGAACCTGGCTAGAGCAAGTACCTTGGGCTGCTCGCATTCACTATGTGGACGACTGTCTCCTGTAAAAAGGGTCAGGCTGCTGCTTCAACAGCCAACCTTTTAGTATAACTGCTTAAATCGCTCTTCTACAAAAGCTCTAGCAATACACTGCAGCCTTGAGTGCAGACCACCTCTGAAAGCCAGAAAAACGTGAAAGAGAATGTACGTATACAGACTGTGTGTGCCTATGGCTAGGGCCAGCATCTTATACTGCCACCTGGAAAGCTCACTTAAAGCCACTGATGACAGGCTGTAGCATTCATTAAAGAGTCCACCCCAAAGTTAAGTTCAAAACCTGGATTTGCTAACTTGAAATACAAAAAAAAAAAAAAAAATCAAAGTTTAGACTTAAAAAGAACCTGATTTTAGTTCTATTTTCTTGACCAGTTCATTACATAAAGTTCTTTAGTGGATACAACACAGAGCTGAGGTATAATTCCAGTCCCCCAGACGAGTTCTGCGCATTTCCGGGGAACATGAATCATGCCAGTAACACGAAGAGGGAAGATTAAGGCAGAAAGAAGAAAACCTATGTTCTACTGGAGTACTAGGACCCGTTACCTGCGTGTTTTTAGAACATACGTAGATTAAGTATAATAAAAAGGGAACATATCAAATGAAATACATACGGTTGAGGCCAATGTCATGATATGTCAGAATAACTGGTCTGTTTCCTCTCGGTAGGCCTCTGACAGTGACGTGGACCACGCCATGAGTTGTTTCTATGTCATGTTCCTGGAAGAAGAGAAAGAGGTCTCAGCAAAGGCAGAAGGACTTCCAGGTTGCTGAAGTTTCACAGTATGTGATTCACAGCTATTTCCCACTGGCCGCGGCAGGACACATCACTGAACTATAAGCATACCACGGAGATGTTATATTACACAGAAGAGTCCTACTTTCTAATATTTTTCAGATAAACTAACAAATAAATGAGGAGAAATATACCTTCTTATCCACAAAACTAATTTTCTTAAATGGGGGGGAAATCAGGGATCTGTTGAGAATATATTTGCAACTGGCTATGGGAAGGAGATCAACAAGTTGAGTAAGGACCCAGTAAGACCTGGGAAAGAAAGGCGAATGAAGCAGAAGATACAAAGGTGGTGGGTAAAAGGCCAGAGGCTTGAGAGCCCCTTCATGTATGTTCCGTAGGCACCCCTGGGTGTGTGTGCCTAAATGTGTCCCCTTCCTCAGAGCTGCCATTCAGTCTCACTCCTGCATTACAGGAGTGGCTCTCGCTGCCATGATTACAGACTGTAACCTTATGGCCACGGCTAACTGGAGTCAGGTGGGCATCTGGTCCATGCTGGCTCAGCTTCCTTCCCTGAGGATTTGTAATTGCCACTAAGAGATTCCATCCTTAGCTTGGTTCTTCTCTAGAACAGAGATGTGAACTGGGAGCTTATATTAAGCATTTTCACTGCTCTAATTCCTGGTTCTAGCTTAATTCCCCAGCTATCCCTGCATGGCCTCTGGTTTAAACTAACTTGGGTGGGCTTGTCCCCTGTACCCCAAAGGATCCTAAACAAAGCAACGAGTAAAGTTTAAGATGTAGTGAGAGAGCAGAGCTGAGGAGCTGAACAAAGCGGGAGCCAAATGCAACCACAGCTGCTGAGACCAGCACTAAGAGTGTTTGGGTGTAAAGAGACTGTGGATAAGTTAACAGATTTATTCTAGTCTTCCTCAAAGTCTGTATTTCTCAAAGATAAAAAACTCTCACGTCTAGCCTAGTGAATTTTTGCTGACAAAGTCATCCACACCTATCTTAGAAAGTCTTAACAGTGGATAAGACAAAATTTACTATGTCAATAAAAAACCCAACAAAGGCAAAGGGCTTCCAACTTAATTTCCTATCTAACAATGAATCTTACCAGAGCTTTGGTTTATTTTCTGATGCAGGGCACGAAACAATCTCAGGCTAACTGACCAACAGTGTGTCTCACATCAGAGGGCCCAGGCTTGACTCAGTATTCCTGCTGTTCTCCATTATCACTAACCTCTATTCAAAAGCTTGAAAAGGGGGCAAAATGAAGGAGAGAATCAGGTACTATGAACTAACTGGCTACAAAACCAAGTATAGGGTTTGGATGGAAGCAATAGAAAGACAAATTCCTGTTGCCAAATAAGCATTTCTCTTCTTGTAATGTCAGACTTACTGAAGAGACCCCTCCACCACCATCAGGTTTGTTCATGAAATAACTATTTATGAACCCCACCACCACAGCCTGGACTGAGCTCTGGGGATTAAACAATGAACAAAAGAGTTATGGTCCCTGCTCTCCCAGAGAGAACGTTTTAATGGAGAGGCACACAATAAACACACAAATCAACCAATCCATAACAGTTGTGGTTAAGTGCTGTGAAAGAAATAAACAGAAAGTTGTGACAGAAAATTGAGAAGACATTAACTCTATTAGCAGTCAGGATAATGTATATATTAAATCATTGAAATGTGATTTCAGACACACCAGAATGGCAAAAATGTTAAAGTTAGATAATGCCAAGTGCTGGCCAAGATGCAGAGAACTAATAAGTCATATATACCCTTGGTGGGCATGTAAACTGAAATAACTACTCTAGAAAACAATTTGATAATTTCTAGTAAAGTTTAGAGGTGTCTAACTTACAGCAGTTTTACTTTTAATTTAGATTTAGTAAAATCTAAAGCAATTCTCAAACATGGTCATACATATAAAAATATGCATAGAGATATACACTGAAACTTTATAATGTCAAAAAATGAAAACAGGTAAATATTCATCAATACAGAAACTGATGAATGAATTATGACATATCCATATAATGCAATACAGATAAAAATTCATGAGCTAGAGGTATAAATATTAATAGAGAAAAATCTCGAAAATAAAATACTGAACAGAAATGCAGCGGGATATGTATATACCACTTATGCAGATTTTTTTTAAAAAGCAACACTATATAGACTGTACACGGTCACATACATATATTTAAAGTGTAAAAACTTGGAGAAGGAATGACACTAATATTAGGACTTGGTTCCTCCTGGGAGGTTATAAGATTAAAAAGGGGGCCCTGGCTGGTGTAGCTCAATGGATTGAGCACAGGCCAGCGAACCAAAAAGGTCTCTGGTTCAAGTCCCAGTCAGGGCACATGTCTGTCTCTCTTCTCCTTTCCTTCTCCTGTGTCTAAAAAATAAATAAATAATTTTTTTAAAAAAAATTTTTAGGATTTTATTTATTTATCTTTGGAGGGGAAGGGAAGGGAAGGAGAGAAGGAGAGAAATATCAATGTATGGTTGCCTCTCATGTGTCCCCTGCTGGGAACTGGCCTGCAACCCAGGTATGTGCCCTGACTGGGGATCGAACCACGATTCTTTGATTCGCAGGCCTGCACTCAATCCACTGAGCTACACCAGCCAGGGCTAAAATCTTTTTTTTAAATATATTTTATTTATTTATCTTTAGAGGGGAAGGGAAGGAGGGAGGGAGAGAAACATCAATGTATGGTTGCCTTTCGTGCGTCCCCTGCTGGGAACTGGCCTGCAACCCAGGCATGTGCCCTGACTGGGAATTGAACCACGATTGTCTGGTTCGCAGGCCCGCGCTCAATCCACTGAGCTACACCAGCCAGGAACTAAAATCTTTTTTAAAAAAGATTTAAAAAGGCAACTCAAGAAATTTTCACTCTCTCCTGTTTCATTCTTGAAAGAAAGAGAATAAAGAGGGAGGGAGAAGCTCACAGGGGAACTCAAAAAAGTTAAAGATTTGAGCTTTAGTCATAGTTGATAGGCTTAAGTGATTGATGCATGTGGAGAACTGTTATTCCAGGGACTGGAATGTCCCTGGAAGTTCCTGGAACCAATGGAACACACGAAGTTCCACAAGCAAGTCAACCTTGTGCCCCTGCACAAGGGGTCTGCGAGCAGATGGAGATGGCAGGAGATGGTATCTCAGCCACCTCATTCCAGGGAGGGAACTCTGTGATGCAGATGAAGAACTGCTGATCAATAGATAGAGCAGGAAATAGATCAACTAGGAAAACTGCCTGTGTGCCGCAACTCTTATCCAATGGACCCCTTCCCCAAGCCCCTTACCTACTCTTCTGTTTATACAATAAAAAGGACACCCTGAGGCGAGATGTTAGATGGTTTCTGAGGGTATGTAACCTGCCATATTCTCAGATCACTGCCATCTAAATAACGCACCCACAAAGATTCGATCTTTGTCTCTACTTACTGGTTCTGGTAGTGACAAACAGCATGAGTGCCAATCTTTCTGGTTTCTAAGCTAGCCTCTGCCAGATGGGTGACACTACAGGAGAACCCAAATTGACGAGCATGTGCAACAATTTGTCATCACGACAATCTAGTGGTTGGAGACTTCCTTCTGCCACATCCAAACCTTCCCTGGAGTCTGGCTTAAATATTCTGGCTTGGCCTCTGCTGAGGGGAAGATCAGTTTACGCTTTGGCCCTAAGGTTAGCAGACCTTCTCAGGCCAGGAAACTGATGGGGATAGTGTATGTGGGGGTGGAGTGAGATGGAGGATAATGAGCTGTGAGGTTAGATCAGGAAGAGGATGAAAATGGAGATATAACAGATGAAGTACAAGAGAACATGTTAAAAGCATGTGAGGGAATAGGGCAAAGTAACTACTTTATCATTTCATAATCTAGATAAAATTTAGAGTTAAAACTGGCTGACAAAATTTCAACTTTTCAGGGAGACCTCAGCTCCTACCTTCCATAATACACCTACAAGTTGTGTAATGACCAAAGGAGCAGAGTCAACGTGAGTTCCCGAGCAACCCACAGCTGAAACTGTCTCACAGAGCTTCTCTTCATTCCAGTTTGTGAATGTAAATGTTATTAGCAGAATAAAGAATATAAAAAGAAAGGAGACAATCACCTCCATATGGACTTCTAAATATACCCTTTATGATCTGGTGTCTATGAAGAGCTTGAACAAGTCTTCATTTAAAGAAAGATGAGCGTGCAGAGACCCTGGCTGCGGAACTGACTCAGTGGTTAGGCCACTGCAGGGGTGAAGCTGCGACACCTTTCTGCTTCAAACATCATCTGTTCCACAGGCTGTTTCCCAGTTACCTTACCCTGCACCCTAGCATTCTACAGGGTATGACAACATGATGACAGTCTATGCTCAGAGGGTACACCCCAAAGTAGTGCCTTACAGGCTCCGGTCATGGATATCTTCCGGTATTCTCTGATTAGTTACTACCTCTAAGGTAATACACTTAAACATGATCCCCTTTATTCTCCAAGCTTATAAAACAACCTAAAATCACATTGGTCCTAGACACACTTCTCCATCCTGGACTGCCTCCCTCTTAATATAAAAGATGTAGTTTAGTCCTGAATGGTGTGGCTCAGCAGGAGGAGCGTCATCCTGCAAACAGAAAAGTTGCCAGTTTGATTCCCGGTCAGGGCACATGCCTGAGTTGTGAGCCGTGTCTCCAGATGGGGGAGTGCAAGAGGCAACCCATTGTTTCTCTCACACATTGTTTCTCTACCTCTTTTTCCCTCCCTTTTGCTCTCTCTAAAAATAAATAAAATCCTAAAAAAATACATAAAAGCTGTAGGTTAAGTCTTTTCTTTAAAGAATTTAAGGCTTTAGGATATCATCATTAGTTGATAATCAACTTTCACCCTTTTTTTCTGAGTTCTCTTCCTTTGACTAAATGTGCTGTCACCAGAACTACATAATCTGACTTATTATAATCTCTCTGAATGTAGTTA